ATGCTTTAGGTTTAGTTAGGAATCTAGATCTACTTGTATTAATAATTGATCTGTTGCACAAAATGAAAGGTACAGACAGTTGGCAAGTCAGAGGGAATGCTGTGAGGTAGAACTTGGGGAAAATTTAGTGAGAACTCAATTTGGAAAAGAGAAAATTAGGCTGGCGGGAAGAGGAGGGTGTTCCAGATAGAAAACATGAATAATGAAAAGTGTGTCTATACAAGGCTTTAGTTTTGAAATTTTAGCTACCTTTATTACTTTTGTTATTGTTTGTATGTGGGTGTGATTGCTGTATGTGTGTGGGTGCTCATGTCATGGGCATGTCTGGGTCCCAGACATGGAACTCAGGTTGTCGGCCTTGGTGTGGCAAGCACCTTTACCTGCTGAGCTCTCTTCCTGGCCATTTTACTATGTTTCTTATTCTTTTTCGAAACAAGCTTCCTCCCTTTAGCTCTGGCTGTCCTGGAACTTGTTCTTTAGACCAACCTGGCCTCCAACTCAGGGATCTGCCTGCCTCTGCCTCCTGAGTGCTGGAATTAAAGGTGTGTGCCACCACTGCCTGGCTTATTTTATTTTTTTGAGACGGTCTTAGTCTGTTGTCCAGGCTGGTTTGGAACTATTAACTGAGCTGGCCTCGAACTTTTGACGATCCTCCAAGTGACAGCGTGTGCACTGGCTCCCTAGTGCAGGGATTAACAGGTGTGCATGTCATACAGGGTTTATTTAAGACTGTTAGGCAGATGTGCAGCTCTGACAAGAGGGTACACTGGGAAATTAAGCCGCAAAGATGTGTTGGAAAAAGGAGTGACTCTAGAACATTATGGCAGTCTTTCTAGCACAATTTAAAATTCTGTTCTATGCTGAGCACAGTGGCACACACCTTTACACATGCCCACCTGAACAATGCTGCTGTACATGCCCTACACACAGAGCACTAAATACCCATACACCAATTTTAAGAATCAATTATAAAACAAAAATCTGTGGTCCAGAGAAGGGCTGTGTGCAGGTAGTAATTTCCATGCACAGTAAACCAGGTCTTTATTTCAGAGACGCTGCTCTGCCCTTTCCTTTTCATTCCATTTATTAACTTCTGTGTGTATTTCTGGTGTGTGGATGCTCCAGAGCATGTTTGTGCGAGGTCAGAGGATAATCTGAATGAGTTAGTTTTTTCCTTCCACCAGGTGGGTCCCAGGGATTAAACTCACTCAGATTGTTGACTTAGTGGAAAGCAGCTTTTCCCACTAAGTTGTCTCACCAGCCTGATTAATTTTTTTATTTTTTGAAACTGGAAAATATTTTCTTTGTAGAAAATAATAAAAATGATAACATTTCCGATCAATTTTTATGTATGTGTATATGTGTGCAGAACACATGTGTGCCCAGCAGGACTGCAGGTGGTTATCCTGCTGCTATCTTGTGATTTTTGTTGTGTTTTTTAAGTTTTAATTTTTATTTGTGTGTCCCTTTCACAGTGGAAGTCAGAGGACAGCTTTAGGGGAATCAGCTGACTTTCCATCCACCATGTGGATGGTTATAGGTTAAAGGACTCAAACTAAGGTTGCCAGGCTTAGTGGCAGTTACCTTTACCCACCAAGTAATCTTGCTGGCTCAATGTTTTGTTTTGTTTTGTTTTGAAACAAGGTGTCTTTGCTTTCTGTTGCTGTGCTAAAACACTATGACGAAAAGCAACTTGGGAAAGGATACCTTTCATTTTAGAGGTCTCAGCCCAGCAAGGGAAGCTAAGGTACCTGGAGAACTTGCACGTGTGTGTGCACACACACACACACAATAAAACAATCCCTTCTGTCTTTCCTTCTTTCTTTCTCCCTTCCTTCCTTCCTTTCTTTTTGAGATTCACCAGCCTCTGCCTCCTGAGTCCTGGGATTAAAGGCATGGGCCACTATACCCAGCTTGTAAATAAACAGAGTTTTTTTGAGTTTGTAGGGTTTATTTTTTAATATTTTTTTTTTCTAAAGATATAAAGTGTTCTGCCTGCATGTGTCCTTGCGGGCCAGAAGAGGGCATCAAATCTCATTACAGATGGCTGTGAGCCACCATGCGGTTGCTGGGAATTGAACTCAGGACCTCTAGAAGAGCAGACTGTGCTCTTAACCTCTGAGCTTGTAGGTTTTATAGCTATAAAATATTTACACTTGTAATGAAATCAGCCCTTTTCCTTTAGGCAGTTAATAGTATCGTATCTATTGTTTTTGGTACTCGAAGAATCGCGTGGGCTCACCTTGACCGGAAGCTTACGGTGCTGGACTGGCAGCAGGTTGAGTGTTGGAAATTAACGAACAGAACATACCCATCATCTGTCTATCTGGAAGAGGTAAGGCAACGGCTGCTCCCTGCTCCTTGTTTTCTGTCTTATGCATTCCTACATGGTTCCTTGTACAGTTTAGTCTGGCAGTTTAACAGTGAAGCTGGTCTTTGAGGTTTGGGGCACTTTTTTATTCCCTATTAGCTTTATTATATTGGATTTTAAAAAAATCTGGAAACCTTGTCTTTAAATTCAGTCTTTTGTCTCCTTCAAGTATTCAAGATGTGAAATGGGCAGGGATTGCTGTCTTGTGAGCGCAGGATAAGAAGAGGCTTTGGCCAGCACCTTGCCACCAGCAGAGATTCTAGCTAGTACCAGTCCTCTGCTCCACCTGGGAACATTTCGGATGCTTAAGTTTGGCTTGCCGAGTCCTGAAGCCAGTACAGACGTTAGGGATGACAAGACTGTCAGGACAAGAGCCATCTTAGCTTCTTCTTGAGAAGCTGTTGTTACTTCAGGGTTGTCAGAAATGGGACAAACATAAAACAAAGCACTTATTTCTTTCTTCTTCTTCTTCTTTTTTTTTTAAAGATTTCTTCAGTCATTTCAAAGATACCTGAAGCAGATCTCTACATTTTGGAAAAATCAGGACTTTCCATTCAGAACACAACTCTGTTTCCTATACTGTTACACTTTCTTATCACGGAAGCCATGCTGTATGCCTTACTCAACAAAACTTTTGCCGAGGATGGCCAGCATCGGGTGCTGAGCATGAGTCGAAATGCCGTGGGCAAGCACTTCGACCTGATGATTGGTGACACAAGGACGAGTGGGAGAGAGCTTGTGAAACAGTTCCTGTCCGAGGCCGTGCTGAAGAAGGAGCCTCGGGTGTTCTTCCCACAGGATCGAGTAGTTCGGTACAGACAGAAGATTCTGAAGGCCTCACACCACATCGAAGAGCTGTACGATTCACTGTTACAAGCTGTGGCCTTTTATGAGTTAGTTTTTGGCAGAGGCTCAGAGCTCAAATGTTAATGCGCTCGCTTTAGTGTCATATTAATTTATTAAACCAACTGTTCCCATTCTTCATGTTAGTGGAGAAGAAAACATTTTGAGTATATTTTTTATGTTTATAAAAGTTAGAGTTTTGGCTGTGAAATAGTATACATGAGCCAAGACCATATCAATAAATATTTTATGAAATTCTGTGCCTTCTGCATTTAAGTGCTAAATAGTAAGATGCCACTCACACAGCCAAAAGTTAGCTTCATTTAAAGCAAGTACCAGGCTAGAGATGTCTTCGACATTAGTAGCACTTGCTGCCTTCCCAGAGGACCCTACTTTGGTTCCTACCCCCATTCCAGGTGCTCACCATTGTCTCTAAGTTCAGTTCCAGAGACTGATGTTCTTTTCTGGGATCCTGCACACACACAGAGGAAGCATTCACTTACACGTAGAAAAAAAATTAAGCCGGGGGGTGGTGGTGGCAGTGCACCTTTAATCTTAGCAATCGGGAGGCAGAGGCAGGTGGATCTCTGAGTTTGAGGCCAGGCTGGGCTACAGAGTGAGTTCTAGGACAGGCTCCAAAGCTACACAGAGAAACCCTGTCTCGGGGGGAAAAAAAAAATTAAAAGCTGGGCTGGAGAGATGGCTCAGAGGTTAAGAGCACTGCCTACTCTTCCAGAGGTCCTAAGTTCAATTCCCAGCAACCGCATGGTGGCTCACAACCATCTGTAATCAGATCTGGTGCCCTCTTCTGGCCTGGAGGGATCCATGCGGTCAGAACACTGAGTACATAATAGAGAAATAAATCTTAAGAAAAAGCAACTGTTTAAATGGTGGCACGCGCCTTTAATCCCACTAGGGATGCAGAGACGGGGATCTCTTGAGTTTGAGGCCAGTTTGGTCTACATAATGAATTTCAGGACAGCCTTCAAAAATCAGTAAGAGGAAGAACAAGCTGAGCAGATGGTTCCACCAGTAATCTCCGCACTCAGGAGAAAAAAGCATTGAGATTGTGTGAGGTCAGTTTGGGACTATAGTGAGATTCTGTCCCAAACTCTTTGCCCCCACCCCCATTAAAAAAAAAAAGGGGGAAAAAACTCCTTAAGGACAGGTTGGGTTGTAGCTTGGTAGTAAACTGCTTGCATAGCTTTGACACCCAGTAATGGGAAAAAATGTTCCATCAAGCAAGAAACCCTACTCAGCCAAGTCCTTGTTAAGGAGGGAGTTTGGATAACTTGAACAGTTTCCTAATTCTTTTATATTGGTTCATCAATTGTTGAGATGGTCAGAGTCCCTAATAATAAAGCACCTGACCAGCAGCTAAGCACCTCCAGGAGACACTGTAGGGAAACACAGACAGGGACACTTAGAAGGTTCAGGACCTGGAGAGATGACCAGCAGAGAGGGCTCAGCAGTTAGAAGCACTTGCTGCCCCTGCAGGGGTCCAGGGTACAGTTCCAGCTCCCACATGGTAGGCAGCTCACAACCATTGTCCTTAACTCCAGTTTCAGGGCATCCATTGGCCTCTTCTGGCCTCCTCCAGCACTGCAAGCATGTGATGCACATGCATACATGCAGGCAGAACATTAATACACATAAACAACAAATCTTTAAAAAGCTTTGACCATCTTTTTTTTTGTCCAGCAAAGAAATCTCTAAGTTGTAGCACTTACCTGAATGTATTCAATATACATGTACATTAAGATGATCATAACTATTTAAATACCACTTACAGCCTTCAGCTTTAAATTTTAATTAGATCAATTTGCTAATTAATACAAGAAAAAGTAGGTTGAACAAGAGGTAAAAACATCGTCACACACATTGTAAACAGGTATGCACCTATACTTTAAAAAAGTACAAAACTAGGATCCTTAACTTTTGAGTTAAAAATACAATTTATCAGAAAATGTACCTGAATATTATGTTATTATACAAATATATGTAATATGAAGCAATTTTAAACATACTTGATTATCTGACGAAAATAACATTAAGTAAAATGCGACACTTTAAAATCTTGCTACTAAAGTAAAAACAGGTACTTACAAAAACAAACAAACAAAAAAACCTATGACCTTCCTGGGTGTGGCAGCATATGCCTGTAGTCCCAAGTACTTGAGAAGCTGAGACAGGAGGATCACATAAGTCTGGAAGGAGTTTACAGGCAGCCTAAGCATTATAACCAGACCCTGTCTCAAAGACAATGTTGGGGGTTCTAGCTCAGTGGTTAAGCATGTCTCTAGAATGCACAAGGCCTTGGGTTTGATCTGTAGCACCACAAATAATTACAAAAACAAGACTGCGTGTTACTAAGACATAGGACATAGGACATGTGCCCATAACACAAAAGACCTCAATCCTCAGCACCACAAAACCCCAAACCAAACTTAAGTGGAAATAGCTGTTAGGTAGAAACCCCATGTTAGAATCCTTCATTATTTCTTCAACCATCAACAACTTGTCCAAAATAGATAAATTAATGTCATTACATTTATGAAGAAAACATGATATAAAGGTACCAGAAAATGTACAAATAATTGAGTGCACAATGCACAAGACTTCACCTACACAGGGTGCTAAGAAAGGTTTATGGGAACCAGACTTCAGGATGCTTTACTTTGCCAACATGGATGGCCCCATGATGGAATGGTAAAGCATGCTGGGCGAGGGCACAAGGTAGAAAGGCTTTCCAAAGCTGGTGCACTTTCCTTCCTAGTACACTAAAGATGACTCCACATGGAGGAACTGTTTTGTGCCGTGCAGCTTTAGGGACTGCAGGTGGTGGCATGCTCTGATACTGGAGAGCAGAGGGAGGGTCCAAGGAAAGGGAAAATTACCGATGACCTCAGTACTGAAACAGCTTTAGAAATCTCTTCGTGAACACTACCTTCTACACATACAGAAAGCATACAAAACAAAGCAAAAATAGATAATACAAAACATTCAGGAAAAAATATGCCACAATCATATATACAGTTTGTAACCCAAATTTTTCATTTTAAATACTTGAACCACAAAAATACAATCTTTTAAAATTTACATTAAGAGAAATAAGCTCTTCTTTCAAGTCAACATAATCTAGTGTGTCTTAAGGACCACCGTCGTCCTTCCTGGGCACTGAAGACGGGGACATCAAGGGAAGTCAGCAGCCAAAGCTGTCACAGCCTCTTCAGGAATATCAAGATGAATTCCTTCAAAATAGTGCAGAAACCTGTCAAAATGACAAAAAATTCAATACCGCATTTTCATTACCATGAACATATTTATTAATTTGACATGGCTGCCCAAAATATTACTTTTTTACACACTTTACCTTCTTTTATTTTTCCCTTGTTCTTTCAGCTTCTCTGTCCGACAAATGTTCCGAAGAGTCGGCAGGTAGTCAAGGATACTCGCTTGCTTATTACCCACGTTCAGAAAGGACCGACTAGAAAACACGCTTTTAATGACTGCCATCCTCTTGTCAGCATTGCTACAAATTAAGAGTAAGTATTATTTTTTGGTATTTTGTACATAAAAATGTAACAACTCCAAATGTAACCAGGGTTCCTGCTTCTGGTCTAGACCAAATGTCACTTCTAATTTCCTGTCCACAGTGTCAGTCACTCTCATATACACCCAGACTGGCCTAGAACTGGACATAGCTCAGCCTGACTTCAAACTCAGTCTCCTCCCTCCGTCTCTACGTGCTGGGATTACAGCCTTGCACCACCCCCCTCAACTTCATATTGACCACTTTTGTTTAGAGACAGGATGTAGCTGGGGTTGCTTTCAAACTCTTGACCCTCGTGCCTCTACCTCCCAAGTGCTATGATGACCAGCATGTGCCACCATGCCTGGTGTCATAGTGACATATCTTTTTTTTTTTGAAGATATTATTTATTTTATGTATGAGTGCTCTATCTGCATGTACCCCTTTATGCCAGAAGAGGGCATTAGATCCCACTATAGATGGTTGTGAGCCACCATGTAGGTGCTGGGAATTGACCTCAGGACCTCTGGAAGAGCAGCCAGTGCTCTTAACCGCAAAGCCATCTGTCCAGCCCCCATAGTGAAATATCTTAATGGCTTACTTTTACATTTCACAACTCTTAACTCCTCTGTTACCTAAAGGTTTCCCAATTTTTTCTTTTTTCTTTTTTTCAGAGACAGGGTTTCTCTGTGCTCCACCATACTCTCTCAGGTTTTGCAAATTTCATTCAAGCGAGTTTTCTCAATAATCTCCTTAACTTATATGAAAAGCTATATTAACACTAAGTGTTTCCCATGATCAGTAGCCCAGCATTTTAAAATTAGTAAGAACGACTGCCACTGATTACTGAGAAAATGAAAGGTAACAAACAAGACTTACTCTAGATTAGCTGCCGACTGGCGGAAGCATACATCGCTGGACCTTTGTGGAACACAGAAAGTGAGCCCATTGACGAGGTCTCTCCCTAAGTGCTTGCATGGATTCAAGGACTCCAATGCTTTTGAAATGGTAGAAGAACATTTAGTAAAGCTGAGAGCTTCTGCAGTTGCTTTTAATTCTTCAGAGCTCTGAGGAGCCCACCCGTCTCTACTCTCAATACTAAACTCATCACAAAGTCCGCTTTTAACCTTCCCGCTTGTCCAGTGAAAAGGATTTTTACTCAATTCATTCTGTTCCCCTGGGTCTGGTAAAAGGGCATCTAAGAAGGACATGTTCTCCATGAACTCAATGAGAGAATTTAAACAGTGGGAAACGAGCACAGAACACTTCTTCTCTGCTGGTGTCTTAGGAGGTTGAGGCACCGAGTCAGACGTGAAGCTTTTGGTTTGTGTCTGTGTCTCTGGGTTGCCTTCTCTGTCTCTGCTTGTGATGTCTTCTAAAGCCGAAGAAGGCACAGGAGATAAACCAGTCAGGTCATCAGAAAAGTCCAGTCCAGTGTCAAATAAGTCACTGTCATCCAGGGTCACCATCTTTCTCTGTTTCCTTTTCTGTGATTTTTTTAATGGCTGGTCTTCTGACTGCTTCCTGGGAAGATGCTCCATGCTTCCTGGCGCACTGGCCTCTGTAGTCACTGGGGAGCCATAAGCATCTTTTACTTCTGGGATGACAGTAACTGGCAATGGCAGGATGAACTCAAGATTACTATACAATAGATCGATGTTTTGCATGTGGAATTCTGTCAGAAGCTGGATGAATTTATGCCATTCTTCCTTTGTTGTGACCTTGTGCTGAAAAGCAATTTTGAGTAAAGAGATGTTTTACGAGTATTTAGACATCTTCCCACCCTTAGGAATAGAGACTTGTCCCTATGCATCTCTATCTTTTACTTATCTTTTTAAAGATTTATTTATTTATGTGTATGGGTGCTCTATCTGCATATATGCCTGCATAGCCAGAAGAGGGCATCAGATCTCATATAGATGGCTGTGAGCCACCATGTGGGTGCTGGAAACTGAACTCAGGACCTCTGGAAGAGCAGCCAGTGCTCATCTCTATCTTTTAAATAGATGACTTTTTTTTTGGAGGGGTGCCTCAGGACACATGTGGAGGTCAGAGAACAACTTGTAGGAGTCAACTCTCTCCTTCTACCACATGGGTCCTAGGGATCAAACTGAGGTCACAAGGCTGGATTGCAAGCACCTTTACTGCTGAGCCATCTCCCTGGCCACCTAGTCTATCTTGAAAGTACCAAGTGGCTACCCTTTGTCATTTTATTAGATTATATTTAATACATCAGAGCAGTACTAGGCCAGGAGTAAGTCAGTGGTAAAATAGTTGCTGAGTGTGCACCAGGGCTCCTTGGGTCAATCCCCAGGGCTGGGGGGAAAAAACAAAAAACAAAAAAACAAAAATGAAAGAAAGGGGTAGATACCAGGGAGGGAAAAGTTCTGAGTCTAAAATTAGATTTCGATTCAGAACTAGTGTTCTTTATTTAGCACACATTCCAATTCAGTATCAAAAGGTCAATTTTTTTTTTAAAGTTGTCTTTTTAAAGATTTATTTATTATGTATACAATGTTCTATCTGCATGACCAGAAGAGGGCGTCAGATCTCACTACAGATGGTTGTGAGCCACCATGTGGTTGCTAGGAATTGAACTCAGGACCTCTGGAAGAGTAGTCAGTGCTCTTAACCATTGAGCCATCTCTCCAGCCCCAAAAGGTCATTTATTTAATGGTGGCGCAAGCCTTTAATCCCAGCACTCAAGAGGCAGAGCCAGGCGGATCTCTGTGAGTTCCAGGACAGGTTTTTTTGGTTTTTTTGTTTTTAATAAATGACCTTTTTTTTTTGAGACAGGGTTTCTCCATGTAACTTTGGTGCCTGTCCTGGATCTTGCTCTGCAGACCAGGCTGGCCTCGAGTGCTGGAATTAAAGGCGTATGCCACCGCTGCACGGCTACTAAATGACCTTTTTATCTGAAAAGTTTCTAAATTTTTTTATTTTTGGTTTTTCGAGACAGGGTTTCTCTGTGTATCCCTGGCTGTACTGGAAACTCAAAGATCCATCTGCTTTTGCCTCTCCAGTGCCGGGACTAAAGGTGTGCACCACTACCATCTGGACTAAATTGAATCTGAGTCTCATAGTATTTTTTTTTTTCAGATTTATTTATTTTATGTATATGAGTGCTCTATTTGCATGTATGTCTTTAGGACAGAAGAGGGCATCAGATCCTACTATAGATGGTGGTGAGCCACCCTGTGGGTGCTAGGAATTGAACCCGTGTCCTCTGGAAGAGCAGCCAGTGCTCTTAACCACTGAGCTATCTCTCCAGCCCCCTCATACTATGCTTTTAAAGCTATGCCTATGCACCATTTATCAACACAGTCAAATGAGTTAATATCTCACACCTAAAGTCTAGAAAATGCTTAGTATATTCAAATATTTTTATTCAAAATAACAATATTTTGAATAATAATATTCAAAACACAGGGTAAATACTGAGAAGATGGACAGGAACATGAATTCATCATTCCACACAGACATGGAAAATACCTTTAAAAGTGAAAATAAGTCTTGGGATGGGGAGGCAATGTTCTTGAGTCCAAACAAAGCCTCTGCACAGCCGGTGTCGCATTTGGGGAGGGCTACACGGTTCCTTCTGCTGTTTTTAGAGTTAATTTTTGCATCGGTGCTATCATCAGAGCAAACCAGTACACTTCTGCTATTTCCTCCTAAAAAATGAATCAAGACAATCGACTGCATTTTAAATGAACTGTATGAAAGAAAGCACAAGTTCTGAAGAGGTGCTCCTGCCCGACACCTTCTGACCTTCACTCCATTTTGTTCTCCACATATGTGTTCACTTCACTACAAACACAATGTAATTCCCTACTCGAAAAATACCTAAGTGAAATGATTTAAGCCTTTTATTTATTTATTTATTATTACTATTTGTTGTTTCTATCAGGGCTACTTTATTTTATTATTTCATTGAGGAAGGGATCTCATTTAGCCCAGGCTGGCCTCACATTTGCAATGTAGGCAAGAATAACCTGGAACTTCTGTGTGTTTGGTGGCCAGAGGACAACTTCAGGCGTCATTCCTTAGTATGTAACCTTGAACAGCTGACCCCACTACCCCAGGGTGTGCGCCATCCCACACATACACCAGGACATTTTTTTCCACGTCTTAGTTATCATATCGATCTTTTGAGAGCTTGTTAAAGCTGCCAGCTTACACTGAATAAAAAATATGGCTAGGTCTATTTTGAAAAATAATATTTAAATTTTAAACTAATTAGAGAAAAATGATAGGGCGTTAATTTTACAGAACTTCATATTACTTTTTTAAATTTTCCTTTCTTATTTGTTCCCGTTGGCTTTATGTGACTCTGTGAATAGGACCTACCCCAACAGAACTGTGACTATGGATCAGGCAACACACAAACTAGTAATTTCCCCTGGGAGGGAGCATGGCTGACTGACTCTGTATACACAGGGTTTGGAATGGAGAAAGTAATCAGTAATTGCTTGTGCCATAATCAGGTCACAACAATAACTGAAGAGTAGTAGAAAGTAAAACTATTCATGTGAGAAAAAAATATTTCTAAAACCAAGTTCTTAGAAAAATTAGAATTATAAACTATTAAATATGCTATAAAGAAATATAAGCTGGGTGTGGCTGCACATACCTGGGCTGCATGGGATCGTGCCTAGAAATCAGAGCAGGGGCAGTGAAAAGCTACTGCTGCCAAGCTGACAATCTGAGTTCAGGTCCTGGGCCCCACAGGGTAGAAGAAGAGAACAGACTCCTACATGTGGTCCTCTGATCTCCACACCACCAATAAACAAATGCAAATTCATAAATGTAACAAGATATAAAAACAAGTCGGTGGTGGTGATGATGCAAGCCTTCAAGCCCAGCACTTAGGAGGCAGAGGCAGGAGGATCTCTGTGAGTTAAGTCACAGGTGCACACAAACATGCATATACTACCCTCACAGACAAAAGAAACAAACACACCCCCCCGGAACTTATACTTAAATAGAATCACATAAAAAGAATGAAATACAGCTACATCAATACAAAGGTCACTAATATATTGTTTGCTTTGGACAAGGCAGTGTCTCCTGTAGCCTAGGCTGACCTTTATCTCTTGATCCTCCTGCCTCTCTGAAGTGCCAGGATTACAGGAGTGTGCCACCACGGCTGACAGGAGTGTGTTTTTATAAGGGAAAGAAGGAAGCTGCTAAGTGGTAACTACAGCTCTCTCTGTAAGAAACTATATGTCTATAAATGTATATGCAATAGTTTGCAGTGTTTTTGAGATGGGGTCTCATGCAGTCCAGACTACTCTAAACTTGCTATAGAGACAAGGATAACCTTTGACTCTTGATCTTCTGGCCTCCATCGGATCCCAAGTACTGTCAGAACTCATCTCAGGTTTACTTCGGAAGCTACTGGGAGCTTGAGAAGCGTGATTAAAAAAAAAAAAAGTCTAAGGACCGTCCTGTTTCTCTTTTCACCTTGTTGAGAGACTACAGAACTAGGATTACAGGCATGTACCACAACACTGGGCCTTGGAAATTTTTTTCCCTCTTTTATTTTTGTAAGTTCAATCCATTTGCACCTTTTTGCTGTTTTGTTTTTTGAGAGAAGATATTATATAGCCCAGGCTGTTCCTGAGTTTATTATATAGACAAGCAAGGCCTTGAATTTCTGATCCTCTTACCTCTGCCTCCAGACTGCTTGGACTACAGTTGTGCAATACCACACTCAACTATTTATTTACACTTAATGTATTTAAAACCTTTATAAAAAAAAAAGTAGACGTATGTTTAAGTATTTTAAAAATCAGAATAGCTAGCCATTGATTTACAATTTTAAGAATATCTTGATAGAGTATATATTTAAGAATATGGTCCCATATAGAACATTTCCTCATGACGGACTACTTACGACAATGTGACAATGGCCTTTCTTCTAAAATTCCACCTCCACTTCTGATCCAAAACTGTAAGTACAGGATACTTTTTCTGATGTCACAAGCATTTGCAGTCAACAAGGTTACAAAGTCTTTTAAGTCGGTTCTGAAATTCTCAACTAAACAGATTACTTGGAGATAGCTGGCAACGTTTAGCTTAAAAACAGAAAGACAAGATATGGGGGAGAGAAAGACACACAGTTACGTAACTACAGAAATGGAGTAATAATCCTGAATATTGATGAAGAATTTTCTTAAACTCCATAATATCTTAAAACTTTGAGAATGAAATTTCTCTAGAAAACACAAGAGCATATACCACCAAATTAAAGGCATTTATATATTCTTCTTGTGTTGATTGTATATAGTCCAGGACAGCAACAACAAAAACCTGTATGTGTTTGTCTGTGTAAGATAGAATCTTATACAAGCCAGGCTGGCCTTGAACTTGAACCTCTGATTCTCCCGCCTCCACCTCCCAAGTGCTAGGATCACCTGCATGTTCCCCTAAACTAGCTTTGTTGTTGTTTTAAGCAGGATCTTGCTACACAGCCCAGGCAGACCGCAAACTCAGGCTCCTCCTGAGTCTGACTCTTGGATGCTGGGATTACAGGTGTATACTACCACATTCAGCCTGGCTTATACAACATTCTACAACTTGAACACAACAGGCAGTTTTATAGACATGGGTTAAGTAAAATGGTACACTTGACAGGATTTTAAAAAAATTTTATCTCCCCTCCCCTCCTTTATTTTCTCAAATTTTGAGACAAGGCCTCTCTACATAGTCCTGGCTGTCCTGGTATCTAGTCTGTAAACCAAGATTGGCCTCCAACTCACAAAGATCCACCTGCCTCTGTCTCTCAAGTGCACCACTATGCCTAGGGGCTTAACAGGATATTTTATATTCATTAAAACTATAATATTATACAATACTGAAATATGCTTTTCTTTTTTTTTTTAAATTTATTTATTTATTATGTATACAGAAGAGGGCACCAGATCTCATTACAGATGGTTGTAAGCCACCATGTGGTTGCTGGGAATTGAACTCAGGACCTCTGGAAGTGCAGTCAGTGCTCTTAACCTCTGAGCCATCTCTCCAGCCCGAAAAAAGCTTTTCTAATTTTAAGATAAAAATTAGAAAACTGCCAGGTTCATAGAAACATATGTGTTTTCAAATATAAAACAGAAGGGGCAATGTTAAATATCTGATGTGTTAGAACTTAATAGATAGCAACTTTCTTTCATTTTATCAGAATTCCAATACAGCCTTTTTCTTTCTTGAGACAGAGTCTTGCTATATAGCCAGGCTGGCTATGCAACCTTATTTAGCCTTATGCTGGCAATCCTTTTATCTCAGTCTCCTAACTGCTGAGATAATTAAGCATTTCCTGCCCTGTATGGATCTCTCTCTCTCTCTCTCTCTCTCTCTCTCTCTCTCTCTCTCTCTCTCTCTCTCTCTCTGTGTGTGTGTGTGTGTGTGTGTGTCTGCAGTGCTCAGAATGAAACCTGTGCCACATGCAACCAGTGCAATATTCAAGAGTAATAGAAAAAATAGAAAAATACGCCGGGCAGTGGTGGAGCACACCTTTAATTCCAGCACTCAGGAGGCAGAGGCAGGAGGATCTCTGTGAGTTAGAGGCCAGCCTGGTCTACACAGTGAGTTCCAGGGCAGCCAGGGCTGCACAGAGAAACTCTGTCTCGAAAAAACCAAAAGAAAAAAAGAGAAAAAAAGAAAAATACAATTTAAATCATGCACTTCTTTATAAAAACTTATTTTAAAATCGGATTAATAGAGAATATCCTTAATCCTAAAAAAAATGTACCAAACAAAAACAAAAACAACAACAACAAAAAACCCCTACAGCTAACTTTGTGGGCAATAGTATTAGTGACCGCTTCCTGTCTATACTCTCATCTATAAACAGCTACAAATGTCCACTGCCAACACCTCCACTTACTGTGGCACTGATGTCTTCATTAACAAGTAAAGCATCAGAAAGAAATAAAAAAGAGCCAAGTGTAGGGGCATATGCCAGTAATCCAGCCTGCAAACTTTTGAGAAGCAGGAAGATCAAGAGTTCAAGGTCATCCTCAGCTACATACTGAGTTTGAAACCAACACAGATACAACATATACAAACCTATGTTGGGTTGGACGGTGGTGGCACACGCCTTTAATCCCAGCACTTGGGGAGGCAGAGCCAGGTGGACCTCTGGGAGTTCGAGGCCAGCCTGGTCTACAGAGTGAGATCCAGGAAAGGCACCAAAACTACACAGAGAAACCCTGTCTCAAAACAAACAAACAAACAAACAAACAAACAAACCAAACAAATCTATGTTGAATAAAATAAGGCAACCACAAAAAGCCAAGGACAGTCACGACTATAGAGAGACCTTATTTCAAAAAACCAAACCAACAAACAAATGTTGAGAAAAATGAATACTGCTCCCTATGCAAAATGATCATTAATTAGAAGATTCAGTATTATCAAATGTCTCTTGTCCCAAATTTGATTATAAATTCAAGGAAATTCTAAGAAAATACCACAATAAACTGTAAAAATTAACAATCTCTTCCTAAAATTAACAGAGAAATGAGTACTACCTGTAAACATAATATGATATAATACTGCAAAATAACAAGAGTTATAGTCCTTAACCTCAAGACTTGGTACAGTTACAGTAATCAAGCCAACATCAATTCTCACATAAGTATAAAGAATAGAGTAAGTGTAGTCTGAAAAACAAAACAAAACCCTGTAGTAGTGGTCATTTAAATAAGGTACCTTTAAAGCAAAAGAGGAAATAACCACAAGTTTCCTAAAACTCAGAAGCTTTAACATTTGCCTTTAAAAAGCACATTTTTAAAATATAAATTTAGGCCGGGCGGTGGTGGCACACGCCTTTAATCCCAGCACTCGGGAGGCAGAGGCAGGTGGATCTCTGTGAGTTCGAGGCCAGCCTGAACTATAGAGTGAGTTCCAGGAAAGGCGCAACACTACACAGAGACCCTGTCTCGGAAAAAAAAAAAAAAAAAAAAAAAAAAAAAAAAATATATATATATATATATATATATATATATATATATATATATATTTAATTTAAAAGATATCTTTTACATAACTGTGGTACATATAATCTGTGATCATGAAAATTCAAAACTTACCAGGGAAGGAATATTGAAATTTATTTCTTCAAAGCAGCCATCAAACACTAAACTAAATGTGGGATCTATAGGAAAACGACAATGTTTTTTAAAAAACAAAAAACATAAGACCACTAAATAACTTTTCCCAGTTATACTTTTCTATGGCAATATCTAGCATTTCATTGGTAATTAAAACACAGAAGTTGGAGAGATGGTTCAGTGGCTATAGTGCAGTCTGCTCTTTTGAAGGGCTGGAGTTCAGTTCCCAGCACCTGTATCAGACAGCTCACAACTGCCTGGAACTCCAGCTCCAGGAGATCTGACACTTCTGGTCTTCAGGGGCTGGGGACTAAACCTGGCTCCTCTGCAAGAGCTGCATGTGCTCTACGGCTGAGCCATCTCTCCAGGTCCTCACATTTACAATTGTTAGTGTTTTACTGTAATCTCGGTGATTAGATATTAATTTCTTATTAGTAATTTCTTACAAGTGTTCTAAGTATGTATGTATAGGGAAAAGGTATAGATACAGTTTGACAGTATTTGAACTGTCAAGCATCCATGGGGAGAGTCTTGGAAGTATCCCTCTCAGATGAAAGGAGACTACAGTATCATGCAAATGTTAAGTCCTGAAGGAATTTTCTATTTTGATCTAAAGTAATTATTACCTTTTAAATAAATTATCACCTAACCTATGATTATTAAGATTTTCTTTTCTTTCTTTTTTTTTTGTTTTTTTGTTTTTTCAAGACAGGGTTTCTAATTGTAGCCTTGGTGTCTGATTGTTTTTGTTTGTTTTGTTTTGAGAGAGATTTGGCTATATAGTACTAGCTGGCCTGTAATTCATTACAGATATCAGGCCAGCCTCAAATTTATGGGGATTCTTCTGCCTCTGCCTCCTGAGTACTGGAATTAAAGACCACACTATGCTTTGTTTTGAAAAGAAAAAAAAAAAGCTTTTTAGATTTATTTATTTTATGTGTTTGAGTGTTTTGTCTGCATGTATGTCTGTGTCCCATGTGAGTAACTGGTACCTGAGGAGGTCAGAGAGGACATTAAATCCCCTGGAACTTGAGTTATAGACAATAGTATGCTGCATGTGGGTGCTGGGAACTGAAGCCAGGTTCTCTGCAAGAACAATAAATACTCTTAACCACTAAGCCACCTTCCCAGTGCCCCCATTTCCCATTTGTTTTAAAATGTCATTTATTATTATTGTCTGTGTGTTTTGTGTGTGAGTGTACACATAAGCACTCAGAAACAGCAGGTCAACCCTGTGGAACTGGCTCTTCTCCTTCAACCTTTATGTGGGTTTCAAGATCAAATGCAGATGAACAGACTTGTCTGGAAAGGGCCTTGACCTGCTGAGCCATCTCCCCAGCCCACACCATGCTTTCCTAAACTCACATTTAAAGTTAGTAGCTCTTCCAAACTACTTCAACAGAAAATAAACTGCTGAGATGACTGTTACATACCACTTGTAGTAAGAACTACTGGTCGTTTAGTTGTTGCCATGAATGTTTTGACTGCATTCAAAAACCCAGTATCTTCATCAAAAATGACGTCAACCTACAAACCATTCATCAGAATATTAATAAAGTGAGAGTAACACAATACACTCATTCAGATCAGTTACAGATATACACAATAGACATACTATGTCAGATTCAACACTGAGGGCTGGAGAGATGGCTCAGAGGCTAAGCACACTGCCTGCTCTTCCAGAGGTCCTGAGTTCAATTCCCAGCAACCACATGGTGGCTCACAACCATCTGTAATGGGATCTGGTGCCCTCTTCTGGACTGCAGGGATACATGCAAACAGATTCAACACTGATTAATTTTTGAAAAGTATGAATTGAGCACTTGCTGGAATTTTATGGTTTTTTGTTTTGTTTTGTTTTTTTCAAGATAGGGTTTTTCTGTGTAGTCCTGGCTGTCCTGGATCTCGCTCTGTAGACCAGGCTGGCCTCGAACTCAGAGATCCACCTGCCTCCCACGTGCTGGGATTAAAGATGTGCACCACCACCGCCTGGTGAAAAGTTTATGTCTTATAGCATAAAGGAACTTCTAAGATGGTAATACAGTAAACATTAAAACTAAATAAAGCACATACCTTTAATCCCAGCACTCGGGAGGCAGGGCAGGCAGATCTCTGTGAGTTTGAGGCCAGCCTGGTCAACAAAGTAAGTTGCAGGACAGCCAGGGCTGTTACAGAGAAACCCTGTCACATTGTCTCAAAACAACAACAAAAAATCCCCCAAACACACAGCAACAAACCAGGCAAACAAAAAACTAAATAAAACACAATCACTAATAACTGGGTAGATATGAGTCATAATAACTTCTATAGTTGTTAATAACCAGTATACTTGAATTATGTTAATCATCTTAAAATATTCTAGACAGGGCTGGAGGGATGACTTAGTAGTTAAGAGCATTAATTGCTCTTTCTGAGGACCTGGGTTTGATTCTCAGCACCCACAGAGCAGCTCAAAACCATCTGTAACTCCAGTTCCAGGGGGACCAACACCCTCCTTTGGCCTCCTAAGGTGGTACACATGGTGTACAGGCATACAGGAAGGCATAACATCTGCATACATAAAATAAAATATTACAAAGAAAATGTCACACAAAAAATTTACCATTCTTTAAAGAGAAATATTATTCTAAAGTTAGATTTACTGTTTTATAGTTCCATGTAAGAAAACACATAGTAATCTTTGAAATGTTTCCACTCTGAGACCAATGCATGCCTCTGCAAGCCTACCTCCTCAAAGAGAATGAGGGATGTTGCTTTCTTTCTGTTGGATTCTTCAGCTCCTATTTCTTTAGCATTTGAATTATTTGCATTTGTTGATTTAGTCTGAATAATGTGCCTCTGTTCCAAAGAAGAATTTTTGATTCCTGCATAAATACAATGTTAACATTTTAGGTAAAACTCATGGTTTGTTTTGTTTTTTTTTTTAAGACAGGGTATCACTGTGTAGATCAGGCTGGCCTTGACCTTACAGAGATCTACCTACCTCTGCTTCCAAAGTGCTGCGGTTAAAGGAGTGTGTCACCACACCTGACAAAACTCACTTTTAAAAAACACTAAGAATACCCACAAACTCAACTCCCATATCAACTTTTACTCAACAGTAACACTTCTGTATTTAGGACCATTAGCATGACTGAGGCTTAATAAATAGCAGAGGACCACATGAAATATACAGTTTCATGTAACAAGGTTAATTTACTTTGTTAACGTAATGTTTTACCTTTATTATTTCCCATGAGTGCTCCTACTTCTTCATTATTTTTGGATTTGGAGGATACTTTAAAATAATTTGCCAAAGTTTTAGGGGGAAGTGCTCGCTTCTGCCCACTTCCTTTTGGTGACGATGGAGGAAGCTTTCTTGGTGATATAACAACTTTCCCAGGGGAGTTTAACTTTTCTATGAAAAACAAATTACATTTAAGAACATTATAAAATTATACTAATGGCAAGATAAAATTATCCACAGTGTATTTCTACTCTTACACAATAAAAACCAAAAGAAGACATTTTCTTTCATTCTTATATGCAAATATTCTATACAGATATTATTGGATTGTTGTATATATTCTAACAGAAGGTCAGGACGAAGCAACTATTTGGAAAAGATGCTCTTTTCCAAAGATACACACTTTTCTCTGATTGACATTTGAAAAAGTCTTTCTATGGTACTCAGATAGAACTCAAGCTTCTGAGCCTCTGTGGGGTGTGGATGAAACCCTGAGTTAAGTGGAGTCCTGAGTAAATGTGTATTGTTGACATGGGCATAGACATGTCAAAGACCCCAGAGCCTCCGAAAATGGCACCCACTCCCCCAGGCTCAGAGTGATGGCAAAGCCTTCTTCTCGTCCATATGTAGATGGTACATGCAGAAAACATCCGTCATAGCCTCTCCCTCCCCATGTTTACAGCCTGAAGACTGCTCCTACCTAGATGAGCTAAACTTGCCTCCTTGTTCAGCTATACACCATAAACTTTTCCTCCTCGTTTATCTGTATATGATAACCCCATCTCCTTTTGCAGCTGGATGCAATAACCCTGCCTCTGTTCAACTCTATTTATTAAACAAACTGAGCTTATGAGGTGTTGGTGTTTCTCCATCAAAGAACCCAGCTCACACAATGCCAGATTTTCTGTGCGCTGGTGTTTTTAATTTTTTTCTTCATTCCCTCAGCACCCCAGCCAGGTCCATCCCTGAAGCTATGCTGAACATTGCAATCCTCTTTACCTCTGCCCTCTGAATGCAGGGATTATAGGTATGTACCAAACACCTATCATAAACACAGGATTTTGAAATAACATTCACAGTTCCTTCAGTTATTTTTGCACTGCTTGAAATCAGAAGATACTGGAGTAAAACTGGTAATGGCACACACTGGGCTCTACAGTACATCAGTATTACAAGCAAGTAGTGTGTATTTCCAGATATGTTCTGGAGGATGGATACCAAGTCAAAACATAAAGATGTGATCTTTACTCTACAGAAGCATGAACTTTTCCCCCAGAACTTTTGTCATTGTCTTAGTCCCTACATGTCTTAATTATACAGTAGAGCTCTATCTTCCTGAGTTACCACCCTACGTACAAATTCCATAACTGAGTCCTGTTTATGTTTGTTCCCGCTATATCCATGGATCTTATCCTATCACTTGCATATCAGAGATGTTGAGTAAACAGAATGAGATATAACACTACATTTTTATTTAAAAAAAAAAAACAAAAACAAAAAACAGGACATTCTGGGGCCAAGAGAAGGCTCAGCAGTTAAGAGCACTTGTTGCAGCCGGGCAGCAGTGGCGCACGCCTTTAATCCCAGCACTTGGGAGGCAGAGCCAGGTGGATCTCTGTGAGTTCGAGGCCAGCCTGGTCTACAGAGCAACATCCAGGACAGGCACCAAAACCACATAGAGAAACCCTGTCTCGGGGGGTGGGGGGAAAAAAAACCAAAAAGGAGCACTTGTTGCTTTTCCAAAGAACCCTGGTTCAATTCCCAGCACCCATATAATGGCTTACAACTATCTAGAACTCTAATTCCAAGAAATCCAATGCCTTCTGTTCTCTGTGGGAACTAGGCACACACATGGTACACATACACGCATGCAGGCAAAACATTCATATAAAATAAAATAAATCTAAATAGGACATTTTAATAACATAGATAAGAGATGTAAAATCTTAGAACATTTGTTTATATTAAAAAAATAGCAGAAAAACTACTTTGTTTTATTTTTCTGGTTTTGACATAGACAAAGGATTAATAGTTTTGAAATACTACTGTTTTGTTTTTTTTCCTTAAATAGGGTTTCATGTTACCCAGACTAGCCTTAAACTGGATATATAACCCAAGATGACCTTGAGCTGCTGTGCTGGGATTAGAGTTATGCACCATCATGTTCAGCACACTCTAGGCAAGCATTCTATCAACAGAGCTATACCACAAGTCTGTCTACTTCTTTTTTGTTGTTGTTGTTGTGTTTTATTTTTAATTTATTTTTACTTTACAAGCATTGGTGTTTTGCCTACATATATGTCTGTGTGAGAGTGTTGGATCACAACACTGTAATTATAGGCAGCTGTGAGCTACAAGGTGGGTGCTGGGTATTGAACCCAGGACCTTTGGAAGAGCAGCTAGTACTCTTAAGAGCTAAATCATCTTTCCAACCCTGCTTCTTTGTTTTTATGAGACAGTTTCTCACTCTGCAACCAAGGGGAGCTTTGAACTCATGACACTCCTCAGCTTCCTATATGCTCATATTTCAGGTGTGAGCTACCATACCTGGCATTATATGCTATCTTTAATGTCAAGATACTCAAATTGAAATAAAAAAAAAATCATTCCCGGAACTTTTCCAACAGAAGAATCACCTCCAGCCAACTCTAAGTATAGGGCAACCTGGCACGCCAGAAAGCAAGGAGACACAGCACCTGAGACAGTATATAACCACCAGAATTAAAAGATGTGACTCTGGTTCCAGGCAAGGTAAGAAAGGATCTGAGACTAGATTTACGTCTCCATCCAAAACAATAACAACAAAATGGACATATGGTATGAAACGTTTTTCAAGTTTTTGACTACCATCCAACAAAGGACAGTGAGTGATCCCTGAGGGACAAGACACAAAGAGCTAAACATGAAGACTGCCCAGCTTATTGCTTTGAGAGATTTCCTAAGCCACATTGGGAAAGAAAAACCCAGCTCAAATTTTCCTAAGTCAAGGAGACTAGACAGGAGATGAGGAAATCTAGGCAGATAGAGCCCATAAGAGAGAATACACCAATTGAGATAGTTATGCAGAGTGCTCTGAAATAGCAGAGTCCTCCTTGGCCGAATCTAAAATCAATACTCATGAGGGAAGGGCCACGGGAAACAAATCCCGAGATAAACAGAAATCTAGGAATGGCAAATTCATTCTTTTCTTATTTGTTTTGTTTTATTCTCTGATTTAGAGATAAGGTTTTACTACTTAGGCCTGGAACTTACTATATAAACCAAGCAGGCCTCAAACTGATATCGATCAACCTGCTTCCCAAGTGCTGGGATTAAGAGCATGTGCCACCACGCCTGGCTGAACTCATTCTTTTCACTGGACAGACCAACAAACATCATCACTGATGAGAGACTAGCAAGGGTGCTCAGAAGCAGCACCAGGAGAGGAGCAGAGTCAACCCGGATCAAAATGCGACTATGGTCTTGTCTAGTACAACCTAACAGACCCGAAATGAACAAACTCAGAACAAAGGTCAAGGACACTTACAGGAGACAGAAAGACCCAGCTCTAACAAGATAAACTGTACAAAGTCTGGAAGCAATTAAAAGTATCAGCTTTCAGGTTGGAGAGATGGATCAGTGGTTAGGAGCACTTACTGCTTTTCGAGAGGACCCAGGTTCAGTTCCCAGCATCCACATCAAGCAGCTCTGAGTTGCCTGTAACTCCAAAATTTAGGGATCAAACACCTTGTAGCCTTTGTAGGCACTGCACATACATGGTGCACATAAACTCATGCAGACATACATACATACACAAAAGCAAAAATAAATCTTAAAAAAAAAAAAAGCATCAGCCATCAAAAGAAGCAGAAGAATATAATCCATAAGTAAGACAGAAAAAGCTGAAAACTAACTCAGAAATTAAACAGGAGACAGAAACATGGACAAGAACAATGAGACAGCTATAATCACATTCTACATGATCAAATATTTACAGGAAAATGGGGCATATGATAACTAGAAACACAGAAGGATAAAAAAAAAAGACCCACCTAAATTTCTGGAAATGAAAACTATGCTGACGGCACTGAAAGCCTCTTAGATACTACAGAACACACCCACAAACTTGAATGTGTGGCAGTAACTATTCAAAAGGAAATGCAAAGAGTAAACAACTGAGAAATAGATGAATCATCGGTAAGCAGTGAGACATCTTCTATTAGACAAAGATGATTAATGGCTGCACAGTAACATTGAAGATATGACAGCTTTATCATGAGTGAGCCAGAATGAAAGAAAACACTTAAACTCATTCATCAATCGCTAGACATGGACAGGTCTTCCTTCATGATGTCATAGGAAGAACAATCCTCTCTAGTTCTGTATTTCAGTCATACCATAGAAAAGAATCTATTATAGTTCATAACCATCAGCTTATAAGAAATGTGGGGAAGGGGAATATGGTGACTGATAGAAACAATGAGAATACACTCAGAAGCCAAATCCACAGTGTCACAAGGACTCAGTTCTTCAACACATAAATGACAGGAACAGAAAAGGTAGGGATTTGAAACCTAGGAAGCAAGCACTAATCAAATGTGAGATGTTGAGCCTTGTTTGGATACTGATCTGAAAAAAAACATGCAAAATCATAGAAAACTGAAACCAGCTTGCTTTTAGCAAGGAATAAGCCTCATTTTGTTAGGTTTTGATTATGATACTATTGCTATGTTTTTTGTTTTTGTTTCTTTTTTAAGATTTATTTATTATGTATACAGTGTTCTGCCTGCACGTATGCCTACAAGGCACCGGATCTCATTACAGATGGTTGTGAGCCACCAAGTGGTTGCTGGGAATGAACTCTGAGCCATCTCTCCAGCCCCTATTGCTATGTTTTTTAAAAAGCCCTTAATGTTTAGAAACATAAATTTAAATACATATGGACTAGAACAATAGAATGGTCTTGAGATTTAGTTTATGAGATTTAGATTTATTTTATTTCAAAATAGCCCTGGGAACAAAAGTGTGTTTATGTGCAGGAAAAGCTAAAAAGAAAATGGCAGGTGTTGAGAAATATTCTCTCAGATTTTATTTTTCCAAAGAACACTGTAGCTCAAGGGGATAAGTTACTTACTTGGTGACTTGCCAATGTTGTAGTTATTAAAGAAGCAGGGTTTTTGAGAGTTTACACCTTGTTTATCTACTTGATGGGACTGGGTAGCTTCCTTCAGCTGAGACAGGATTTGTCTACCACTCCTCTGGGAAGAGGCATTCACTTCAAATATCTAAAAGAAGAATATATAGATTTAAAAGGCAAATAGATTTTATCTTTTCTTTCTTTCCTTTCTTCTTTTCGAGACAAGGTCTCACACTGTAGCCTAGGTTGGGCTCAAATGCAAAGCAATTCTGCCTCAGCCCTCAGCTTCCTGAGTGCTAGGATTCCAAGTGTGAACCATTACACCCGCTTCCCTCCTACGCACACGTGCAAGTGGGAGTGTGTGCATGGGGAGGCCAGAGGATGATCTTGGGCGTCCTCCTCAATCTCTCCGCACACTGATTTTTAAAGAGTCTTTTGATCCCTGGGAGGCGGAGCATGCTTGCAATCCTAGCACTAGAAGGCAGAGGAACTAGAAGTTCCAGCTCAGCCTGGTCTACAGAGACCCTATCTCAAACAAACAAAAAAAACAAAAACAAAAACAAGAAAGAAAGAGAAAAAGAAAGGAAAGAAAGAAAGAGAGAAAGAGAAAGAGAGAAAGAGAAAGAAAGAAAGAAAGGAAGGAAGGAAGGAAGGAAGGAAGGAAGGAAGGAAGGAAGGAAGAAAGAAAGAAAGAAAGAAAGAAAGAAAGAAAGAAAGAAGGAAGGAAGGAAGGAAGGAAGGAAGGAAGGAAGGAAGGAAGGAAGGAAAGAAAGAAAGAAAGAAAGAAAGAAAGAAAGAAAGAAAGAAAGAAAGAAAGAAAGAAAGAAAGAAAGAAAGAAAAAGAAAAAGAAAAAAGAAAAGAAAAGAGAAAGGGTCTTTTGGTGAACCTGATATTCATGGCTGGTGAGGCCATCAGGTATGTTCCAGAAATCTGCCTAACTTCACTTCCCCAGCCCTGGGATGTTGTTTGAATCTTAGATGGTCTTTTAATTAAAAAAACAAAACAAAACCAAACACAAAAAAAACCCCAGAGCCAGATATCAGGGTGAAAGAGGAAAGATCAGAAAAGCAGAGCAGCCAGCCACTAGTTCTTACCTCTACGAAATCCTCAGCCTAAAGAGAGCAAGCTCCTGTTTCTTCATGCCTTATATAAACTTTCTCTGCCCTGCCATTCTGCTTCCTGGCATTAAAGGCCTGTGTGCTTCCCAGCAAAGGCATGAGCTCTCAAGTGCTGGGATTAAAGGTGTGTGCCACTACTGCCTGGCTCTGTGTCTAATCTAGTGGCTGTCCTCTGATCCTCAGGCAAGTTTATTAGGGTACACAATATATTGCCACACTGGGACACAAATATGTACTGCTTAGCAGCTTTCTCACGGGTGCTGGGGAATATGAACCCAGTCCTTTTCCAAGCACTTTTCCAACTGAGTCATCTCCCCATCACCTTTTTCTCTTTCTTGAAACAGGGCTTCATTAACACAGGCTGGCCTTGGATTTCTGCTCCTCCATGTTTAATGCTAGGACTACAGGAACATTGCCAAATTTTTCTATTCTTATTTTAACATCCATCATAGCTAACTACTAACCTTAAATCCGAGCTCCTGGGCACAAGCATACACGGCAGCAGTTTTTCCCACTCCCGTTGGCCCTGTTATAAGAACAGTGTTGCAAAGATGACACTCTTCATCATCTGAACTGCCTTTAAAGTCCATGCTATCCGACAAATCTGAAAAATTATTCAAATACAAGTAAAGTGATTAACTGCTTGGGTAGCTCTTTTACCTCATGAAACACAGCAATTAAATCCCACAGAGTTCTTGCCAATAAACACTATAAAGTGATTTCTCAAAGAGTACAAAATCAAATATAGGGTTGGGGAGATGGCTCAGCAGTTAAGAGCACTGACTGCTCTTCCAGGAGATTCGGGTTCAATTCCCAGCAGTCACATGGCAGCTCACAACTGTTTGTAACTCCAGGGTCTAACACCTCACACAGACATATATGCAGGCAAAACATCAGTGCACATAAAAATAGAAATAAATAAACAATTTTTTAAAAATCAAATATATACTAATCCTTAAATTTATGCCAATTTATCTAATCTAACTCAAAAATTGTTCAAGGAAATAAAAAAAAAAACTATAACTCAAAATACCTTCCTGTTTTTCATCTCTTTTCGCCTTCGAATTCTGTCTTTCTTCCAGTTCAGCTCTTCTTTTCCAGTCCTTTAACCAACTGTCATAAAAGAAAAGTGTTAATACAAAGAATCTGAACTGCTGGGCAGTAGTTGCGTTCTTCATTAATCCCAGCAGAGGCAGGCGGCTCTGTGAGTTCCTGGACAGCCAGGGCGACATACAGAAACCATGTCTCGAAAAACAAAAATAAATAAATAAATAAATAAATAAATAAATAAATAAATAAAAACGGACAGTGGTGGTGGTGCACGCCTTTAATCCCAGCACTCGGAAGGCAGAGCCAGGCTGATCTCTGTGAGGTCCAGACCAACCTGGGCTACAGAGTTCCAGAAAAGGCGGCAAAGCTACATAGAGAAACCCTGTCTGAAAAAAAAACAAACAAAAAACAAAACAACGCAGGGCGGTAATGGAGCATACCTTTAATCCCAGCATTGGGGAGGCAGAGCCAGGTGAATCTTTGTGAGTTCGAGTACAGCCTGGTCTACAAAATGAGCTCCAGCACAGGCTTCAAAGCTATACAGAGAAATCCTATTTCAAAAAAACAAAAAACAAACAAACAAAAAACAAACAAACAAAAAGCCTCAGGCTGTCAGGCACCTTTACTCACTAAGCCATCGTGATGATCCCTAAAGTTTATTTTTTTGAGACAGGGTCTGGCTATGTTATCCAAACTGACCTTGAACTCACGATAATTCTCTTTCCCTAGCCCCCCATGTATTAGGATTACAGGAGTACATCATGAGACCTGGTTCTGGAAAGGCAATTTTATTTCTTATTTTGTTTTGTTTTGGAGACAATATATAGCTCTGGCTGTGCTGGAACTTACAGGAGATCCACCTGCCTATCCCTTCCAATTGCTGGGATTAAAGATGTGTACCACGGGCTGAAGATATGCCTCAGAGGTTAAGAGCACTGACTGCTCTTCCAGAGGTCCTGAGTTCAATTCCCAGCACCCACATGGTGGCTCACAACCATCTGCAATGAGATCTAGCACCCTCTTCTGTATACATAATAAATAAATAAATCTTAGAAAATATTTAAAAAAAAGATGTGTACCACTATGCCCAGCTTTTGGAAAGGTAATTTGAATTCCTAAGAATAACCAATATAGATTCTACTATAATGAATTTCACAAAGCCAGTAAATTTTAGCTTTGGAACTGTAGACCTGAATTAATAGTAACACAATCCTACTGGTAAGAAAGCAAAAATTGCCAGGTGGTGGTGGCACACGTCTTTTGGATCTCTGTGAGATTGAGGCCAGCCTGGTCTGCAGAGATCCAGACAGGCTCCAAAGCTACACAGAGAAACCCTGTCTTGAAAAACCCAAAAAAAAAAAAAAAAAAAAAAGACTTTCCCAAGTAATAATATTACTTTGCAGTTTCCAAATTTTAGTCTAAATTGCAAAACTAGATTCATAAACTATTTCTTAATTCTTTTACAAATTTTACCAACCTATATAACTTTTTGATAGCTAACTCATTGCCTATGAGTTCATTTGAATTCTGAGGCTGGTACTTTTCTGTCCAAAGCATGTCTTCAGTTCCAGAATCTAAAGCAAAAATAAAAAATACATTAAGGTATTATTCATTCCTTGACATAAGCATACATTCTTAGACATTTACCTTATTATAAAAGTAATTTTTAAAAAGCTACAGGAATAATCTTATTTATAAAATGCAAAGATTTTTAAAACTTTACATTTAAATTTGTGATACCAAACTCATCACCTTAAAAAAAAAAAAAAAAAATCCCAGTCCCACACCTTTAATCTCAGTGTTCGGGAGGCAGAGGCATGTAGATCTCTGAATCTAGACCAAGTTAGTCTGATCTACATAGCGAATCCCAGGCCAGCCCATGCTACATAGTAAGACCCTGTCTCAAAAAAAAAAAAAAAAAAAATAGGGTTGGGGATTTAGCTCAGTGGTAGAGCGCTTGCCTAGCAAGCACAAGGCCCTGGGTTCAGTCCTCAGCTCTGGTAAATAAATAAATAAATAAATAATTAGAAAAAAATTAAAGCTGGAGTAATGTATGTGCATTACAACTTTTTTTTTTTTTTTTTTTTTTTTTTTGGTTTTTTGAGACAGGGTTTCTCTGTGTAGCTTTGCGCCTCTCCTGGAACTCACTTGGTAGCCCAGGCTGGCCTCGAACTCACAGAGATCCGCCTGGCTCTGCCTCCCGAGTGCTGGGATTAAAGGCGTGCGCCACCACCGCCCGGCCCATTACAACTTTTAATAACTACATGTTAAATGACCATATTTGACAATATGAACCATTATGAATAGTGTGAAGCATAGAAAACAGTAAGCTAGCTAAAGAACAAAGGCAAGCTCTGATCTATGAAGCCAATCTGAATAAAGAGACAAAGGATACACCTCTAACAGAGAAGACTGCCAAGATGGCAATTCTCTCCAAATATGCCAACCAATGAAAACTCAAAACCTCAATGGGATTTATACAGGTGAGGAAAATGATAGTACACTTAAGGAAATCAGTTCACAAAAATATCTCTCACAGTAGGTGAGGGGACTGGAGAGATGGCTTTCTGGAAGTCACGAGCACTGGCGGCTCTTCCAGAGGACACAAGTTTGTTCTAGCACCCACACAGTGGCTCACAACCGTCTGTAACTCCAGTTCCAGGAGATCCAATGCCCTCTTCTGGCCTTGGCTAGCACCATCCACACATGTTATGCACAGATACACATGAAGGAAAAACACCCATACACATAAAATAAAATAATAAAAATTTTTTTTAAAGAAAATGGTAGGTGACATGCCATATCAAGCATTAAAACATTCCATAAACTTTATATAAAATAGATGAATTAAATCATCTCAATAGAATCTGGTGTGGTGGTATATGTCTTTAATCTCATTACTCAGAAGGCAGAGGCAAGAGGATCTCTGAGTTGAAGGTCAGCCTTGCTTTCACAGTGAATTCCAGGACAGCCAGTACAGACAGAGAAACCCTGTCGTAAGGAACACAACAACAGCAAATCAACTCAATAGAATGTCTTGGACAAGATGTCTGTGTGTGTATACATATATGCTGAATAGAATAAGAATGTGTAGAAAGGTGCCGGGCAGTGGTGGCGCACGCCTTTAATCCCAGCACTCGGGAGGCAGAGCCAGGCGGATCTCTGTGAGTTCAAGGCCAGCCTGGACTACCAAGTGAGTTCCAGGAAAGGTGCAAAGCTACACAGAGAAACCCTGTCTCGAAAAACCAAAAAAAAAAAAAAAAAAAAAAAAAAAATGTGTACAAAGGCAAAATATACTGAAAAACAATATAAATAGAATGATTACAGGTTTTGTTTCCCTCCCTCCCTCCCTTCCTTTTCATAAGGCTGGGGATGGAACTACCACTGAGCCATAGCCCCAGAAACATGTCTCACTAAGTTTCTCAGGCTGGCCTTGAACTCAACTCTATAGCACAGGTAGACTTTAAACTTGTGATCCTCCTGACTCTGCTTCCTGAGTAACTTGGATCACAGGCCCATACCACCAGGTCTGGCTTATCTCTGGCTTAAAAAACAGAGCCTAAGTAGAAGGAAAGTGTGGTGGATGCCAACAATCCTAATACTCCTAAGTTCAAGGCCAGCCAGGGATACATAGCAGCACCTTGTCTAAAAACAAAAAAGTACATGTATATAGAGGAACAGAATAAAACCATAAATTACACACCACCTCCCTTCTGAGAGGCCACCAGAAGACTGAAAAATGGGGAGAGTCGGGCCCCGGCAGTGGTGGCATGTGCCTTTAATCTCAGCACTCAGGAGGCAGAGGCAGGTAGATCTCTGTGAGTTTGAGGCCAGCCTGGTCTACAAAGCAAGTTCTAGGACAGCTAGAGATGTCACACAGAGAAACCCTGTCTTGAAAACCACACCCCACCAAAAAAAAAAAAAAAAAAAAAAAAAAAAAAATGAGGAGAGTGGTAAGGAAGAATGACAGGTTAGGGGTTCACAATGTGGCTCAGTAGGTAGAATATTTGCCCAGTATGCACTAAGGCCTGGGTTTAATCCCAGGCAATATGCATAAATATGGCATGCTTACAATCCTGAGGCTTGGGGGGTTGAGGCAGGAAACTCAAGGTCATCTTTGTTTGAGATTAGCCTGGGATACATAAGACTGTCTCAAAATGGGGTGGAGATTGAGAGGTTAAAAAAAAATCAAGCGTTCTAGGATGAGAGGGGGAAAAAAATCCAATTTGCTAGGAAAGGACAGTGTTTCTGCTACTGACTCTGTCCTCATCTACTGCTTCTGTCTTGATTTTTTTTTTTTTAAAAAGATTTATTTATTTATTATGTATACAGTGTTCTGTCTGCATGTATGCCTGCAGGACAGAAGAGGGCACCAGATCTCATTACAGATGGTTGTGAGCCACCATATGGTTGCTGGGAATTGAACTCAGGACCGCTGGAAGAGCAGCCAGTGCTCTTAACCTCTGAGCCATCTCTCCAGCCCGTTCTGTCTTGATTTTACATATACTTACAGCAGTTCGCTTCTTCCCTGAGATATTTAGAAATATACCTTTGGCAGAATGTAGATTTATCCCAGAAGAGTTGATTCTTTTCTCAAGATCTTCTGACTTCTCCTTTATCTCTTCTGGGCTCATTGAATATTCATTTGGTTTCTTTCTTTTTGACCTGTGATTTCCTGTTTCCACACATTTCCGTTTGGTTTCTTTTTGACTGACACGAGGCTGTAGTTGTGGACTTGCTATTTTGGAAATTAAGAGAAATGGGTGTGCTTACCAATCAACAAAAATAATCTTCAATACCCAATAATCTTCCCATCACTTTCAAACATCCTATAGTCTTACAACATTATGATGAAAAGTTAAGAATCAAATGTTATGTAATTAGAGTAAGCTGGAGACCTTAACATTTAGACCGCCTTCTGTACAAGATACATAAGTTGCAATGACCTCATTTAAGGCTTATTAATGAATGATTAGCATTTTAACAATACTAGATCTGCCTGGGTTGGGATATCTGGAAGTTAGCAGGACCAAACAATCTCCCTTGCCAAGTGGCAGCCAAGTTCTGTCTGTAGTAACCACTTCTAAGAGTCAAAAGGCTGGGTCTTTATCTTTTCAAAACTCAAATGTGGGGAGAGAGAGAGAGGAGAGAGAGGAGAGAGAGAGAGAGAAAGAGAGAGAGAGAGAGAGAGAGAGAGAGAGAGAGAGAGAGAGAGAGAGAACTCAAATGTAGACATAAATGATTATCACTAACCTTGTTTACCATGACCCTCAGAAAGTACCTGGTGCTCAATTCGTTTTTTTAGAAGCAAGGGAAAATATTTTCCTAAAGAAAATTCAGGATTTGACTGTGTTATTTCCTCCAGCAAAAGATTTCTTACTTCTTTAGTAAAATCCTTCCTTGTCCTCATCAACTGCAATGAAGAACAATATGTACAGTAACAAGTCGTATCATCTACTGCCTTAGCTGCAACACTACCAAATGCTTCCTGCCCAGAAAGTCACTATCAATGGAATATTAGCTTTAGTCACTAAACACAAAAGTTTAGCTTTGGAAGGAACTACTTCATATATTTATTCTCTACTTTCAATTAATTGTACTTTATATATTAGTTCTGGCTTACAAAGTATTTAAATGTGCTGTATAATCTAATATTCTATTAAAATGATATTTTTATTCTTTTTTTTTGTAAAGTAGAGTCTTGCCAGGCATGGGTGTACACCTTCAATCCCAGAGGCAGGTGGATCTCTGTGAGTCTGAGGCCAGCTTGGTCTACAGTGAGCTCCATGCCAGCCAATGCAACATAGTGAGGTTGAAACCCTTTCTCAAAATTAAATAAAAATAAAGACAAGACTTCTGTATATAGCCCAAGCTGGTCTTAAATTCATCATCTTCATGTCTTAGCCTTCCAAGTGCTTGGTTTATACTCATCCACATGCCTGGCTCTATTATGAATTATTCTGATGTTTTAAGCTCTTTGAGGGGCTAGAGAGATGGCTCAGTCGTTAGGAGCATTCTGTTGTTCTGGCAGAGGACATGGCTTCAGCTCCCAGCACCAACATTAGGTGACTCACAACTGCCTGTTAACTCCAGTTCTAGGGCATGTCATGCCCTCTTCTGGTCTCTGTGGGCACCTGTACATACATGGTATGCATACATGCACTCAGGAACACATAAAATTTATATATATCTTTAAAGCTCTATGACTATTTAAAGAGAGTATGTATTTCTCTTTTTCTTTTTTGTTTTTTGAGACATGGTTTTGCTGTGTAGCCTTAGCTGTCCTGGAACTACCTCTGTAGACCAAGCTGGCCTTGAACTCAGAAATCCTCCTGCCTCTCCTTGAGTGCTGAGATTAAAGGTGTGCACCACCGTTGCCTGGCTGAGACTGTATTTCAATTAGATTTGTTTTTAAAACTAGAGCCTAGGAAAAGAAGAACCTCTAGGCTAAACAGTTGATAGCCAGTATTTTCTTCTGAAAGCTGGGAAAGAATAATTCATGGAATCATGGATGGTTTCTCTGAACTTACCACAACAGCAGAATTACTTCTTGGATTTGAATTCAATGTTGAAAATTCACCAAGAGCAACAACACATTTTGAGAGATCTGTTACTTTAGTATTCAATTCTTTAAATTCAGTTAACAGAGGGCAAGACGGTGGCTTCAAATGCCACAACCAATACTCTAAAGAAAAACAGAAAAGCATCCGAATTTATACACTATTCCTTTACGGAATATCAACCATGCAAACATGAAAAGGCCTGACAAGTCTGATATATGAGACTCTGAGTTCAACTCTCAGCAATACCAAACACCAACAACAAAAGCAAAAATTCCAGCAGGCAAGCCAATGAAAGCAGCTGTATGGTTCAAACAAAATTACCAAACACCCAAGTGAATATACCATGAACAAGAAGCACAGCTTGGCCATGCCATGGTACACTCCTATAATCTCAGCACTTGAGAGGTGGAGACAGGACTGAGAGAGCAAGGCTTACTTACCTAGGCTTCATAGCAAGACCCCCACCAAAAAACAGCTGATAAAAATTACCTCATCTTCTCTTTAATTTGTCAAAAATGACCAAATACCAGCAATCTCATTTCTTTTAAAATCAACTTTGATATGTAGTTTCAAAAACCAAGGGGCTATTTAGCATTCTGATTTAGAGTCTGTCTAAGGGTTTGATTTTTTTGTTTGTTTGTTGTTAGACAGAGCCTCACTACGGAGCGTAGGCTGGCACTAACCTGCTATGTACCCGACAGGCCATGAACTACAGTTCTCAGATTCAGCCTTACAACAAGCCCAAATTTAAATATAAAAACAGCATTCATTCAGGCTGGAGAGATGACTCAGAGGTTAAGAGCACTGACTGTTCTTCCAGAGGTCCTGAGTTCAATTCCCAGGACCCACATGGTGGCTCACAACCATCTGTAATGAGATCTGGCACCCTCTTCTGTGTACAAAATAAATAAATAAATCTTAAAAAAAAACCAAAAAACAGTATTCATTCAAGGTCCCTTATATCAGGGAGGCAAGGATGACATAAGGGATAATAAAAATCACTTGGCCTTCTTTGCTCTGCATGGGAGTATCATCAGTAAACAAGTCCAGGAATTAGGGAAAAATAGGTAAAATATACTGGTAATCACTAAAATCACCAAGAATGCTATAAAACCAGAAAACCTACCCCATTCTTCTTTTTAAATGTTTTATTTATTGCTGGGTGGCGGTGGCACACACCTTTAATAATCCCAGGACTTGATAGGCAGAGGTAGGCAGATATCTGTGAGTTCGAGGCCAGCCAAGGCTACAAAGAGAAAACTTGTCTTGAGAAATAAAAAACAAACAAACAAAAAATTTATTAATTTTTTGTTTGTTTGTTTGTTCAAGACAGGGTTTCTTTGTGTAGCTTTGCGCCTTTCCTGGAATTCACTTGGTAGCCCAGGCTGGCCTCAAATTCACAGAGATCAGCCTGGCTCTGCCTTCCAAGTGCTGGGATTAAAGGCGTGTGCCACCACCGCCCGACAAAGTTTATTAATTTTTAAAAAGCATTTCTTTCTTTTTTTAAAGACAGGGTCTTATAATGTAGCTCTAGCTGTCCTGGAACATGCTATGTAGACCAGGCTAGCCTTGAACTCAGAGTTTCTCCTGTTTCTATCTCCTAAATACTGGGATTATTTTATTTTTATGTGTGTGTGCCTGCATGAATGTATGTGTGGCACGTGTGTACAGGTGCTCATTGAGGACAGGAGAGGGCTTTTCCTTCCTGAATGCAGGAGGAAACCTGATCTCCTGGAGCTGGAATTACAGATGGTTATGAGCCTCAATGTGGGTTCTGGAACTCAGACCTAGGTCCTCTGCAAGAGCAATAAGTGTTCCTAACCACTAAGTCATTTCGCCAGCTCTTTTTCTTGTTAAAAAAAAAAGCAGAGTATCAGCCCAGGCGGTGATGGCATAAGCCTTTAATCCCAGCACTTGGGAGGCAGAAGCAGGCGGATCTCTGAGTTTGATACCAGTCTGGTTTACAAAGCAGATCCAGGACAGCCAGGGCTACACAGAGAAACCCTGTCCCGAAAAGCTAAAAAAAAAAAAAAAAAAAAAAAAAGGTGAGGAGGTGGGGAGGGACAGGGGAAGGTCCTTAGATGATAGGATACCTGGCTGCATATGGGAACGAGGGGTTTGATCCTCAGCACAATAAGGTAAAAGTGAGGCTAAGTTTTAAGTACAGTGGCACACACCTGTTCTTCTAACACCTGAAAGCTGACAACAGGAGCATTCATACTTTGAGGCTTTGGGGGCTATAGTGGGACTATGGGGTATACTGAGGCTAAAGCAGAAGTACTGCTAAGTTTCAGGTCTAGGATACATAAGTTCAAGGCCAGACTGGGCTACAGAATAAGACCCTGGCTCAAAAATAAATACATTTGAGGCCAGCCTGGTCTTCGTAGAGAGTTCTAGGACAGCCAGGCTAAACAGAGAGACCCCGTCTAAATAAATAAACAAAAACATACACACACACACACACACACACACACACACACACACACACACACACACACAACAAACTTACCATCATCCTTCTGTTGGACATGAACAACCCTCTGGAAACTGGTACTCACTGCATTGTAAACATCGAGTGCAGCAGCTTTCTTTGCAATCTGTCGTTTCAGTAAATCTGGCAAACCACTCCGTAGAAAATCACGCTTTGCTCTAAATTGTACATCACAATCCTGAGTTTGTTCTGATGAATCTTGACTTTGAAGAAAATTATTTAAAAAAATAAAAGCAAAAGTTATAAGTACCTAAAGGAATAAATTGACAACCTGAGTTCAACTGCCCAGGACCCACAACGTGGAGGAATCAGCTCCACAAATTGTTTTCTGATCTCCACATGCATGCTGTGGCATGTGTGTTTATACAAATGTAAGTAAATAAATAGATGCAATATAAATAATTTTAAAAACAGTCAGGTGTAGTGGTGCATGCCTTGAATCCCAGCATTTAGGAGGCCAAGGGAGGAGGATCTCTTGTGAGTTCAATACCAGACAAGTCTACATAGTAAGTTCCAGGAGAGCCAGAGCTACAGAACAAGACGCTGCCTCAAATTAAATGAATAGATAGATAGATAAATAGATAGATAGATAGATAGATAGATAGATACATACATACATACATACATACATAAAGTGAGGTGAAGAATAAACTATGTAGGGCCAGTGTGAGGGTCAGCAGGTAAAGGCACTTGCTACGAAGACTGATGATTCAAATCAATCTCCAGGACCAACATGGTAGTAGGAAAAAAAAAACAAATCTCTGCCCTCCATACACACCATACACACAAATAAGTAAATAAATAAATGCAAAAAAGTTAAAGAACAAATTTTCTAGAAAACAAACATTTTAAAATTTTATCTTCAAGCTAGTGAGATGGCTCATTGGTAAAAGCACTTGCCGCACAAGCAGGACAACCTGAGTTCCATCCTTGGAACTCACATAGAGGAAAGGATCAACTCACAACTTCCTCTGACCTTCACACTCATGCCAGCGTATGCATGCACCAGCACAGACAGATAGGCAGGCTTGTGCGCATGCACACACACAACTGAAATCTAAAAAAAAAATTTCAAAATTAAGCACACCCAATAAATTAGCTGGTAAAACTCTCTTTTGCTTATCTACTCATGTTAGAAAATTAAATAAGACCAATATGTATAGATTTTTAAAAAAAAACAAGCCGGGCAATGGTGGCGCACGCCTTTAATCCCAACACTCGGGAGGCAGAGGCAGGCAGATCTCTGTGAGTTCGAGGCCAGCCTGGTCTACAGCGCGAGATCCAGGAAAGGCGCAAAACTACACAGAGAAACTCTGTCTTGAAAACAAAAAAAAAAAAAAAAAAAAAAAAAAAAAAAAACCCTGTATTAAAAGACTAACTAACTGGGACTCTCCTCAGATGGGAGTTTTCTTCATTGTCCCTGTTGTTTGGTGTGGGGCTAGAAAGCAAACTCGGGGTTGTACTATGACTCAGGCACTCTACCTGTGAATTACACCCCCAGAACGAGGGTTGTTATTATTAAATAAGCATTATATTATACCAGAAAAACAAAGTCAGTGTCACATTCAGAACTTAACACAACAGCTTGCTGGGAGAACCTTTCCCTAGCATATACAAGGGCCTACGTTCAATCTCCAGCACCACTAACGAAAAGAAACAGAAGCTGGGTGTAGTGGTACACACCTGTAATCCCAGCATTCAGGAGGCTGAGGCAGGTGAATTGTTTTAAGTTCCAGATCAGGCAGGCTACATAGAGACCCCAAATAATAACAACAATACAGCAATACTGTTTCCAGTAACAGGAAACTGAGGATCTTCACCTTTACTTGGCTTCTTCTGAGGTTATGAATCACAGTAATCTTAAACTGATATGGAGAGAAGTGTGAGGGTGGAGGAGACTAGGAAACTGGAGTGGTAGAAGGTAGAAAGAGTGTGGTGGTACATCACAGCTTAGGCATCCTTCCTAGCCTTCCATATATACAAGGACTAAAACTTTGTATACAAATTAGGGCTGGTAAGTTTTACAAGGCTAAAAAAAAAAAATTCTACATCTGTGCTCCTTTCTTCTTTGAGTAAAAAGTGAGGGGAAGATGAGTCTTAAGCCAGATGAGAAGAATTGACTGGGGCAGGAGAGACAGCTCAGCAGTTAAGAGCACTTGTTGCTCTTCCAGAGGACCTGAGTTTGGTTCTCAGTATCCATATCAGGAAGCTCACAACTGTCTATAACTCAAATTCCAAGAGCTCTGAGCCCCTCGGCTAGCCTCTGAGGACACCCACACCCATGAAGTATATAATCACACAGACACACACACATATACATAAATAAAAATAATGGTTATTTTATTTATTTAAAGAGTCAACCTCAGAGCTGGATGGTTGGTTTCTCTGTGTAGCCCTGTCTGTCCTGGAACTCACTCTGTAGACCAGATTGGCCTCAAACACAGAGATCTGCCTGCCTCTGCCTCCAGAGTGCTGGGATTAAAGGCGTGCGCCACTACTATCCAGTGAATCTAGATAATTTATAAACAGCTTTATTATGGCTGTGTATGGTGGTACATGTCTATAACTCTAGCACTCGGAAGGAAGCAGGAGAATTAGGAGTTCAAGGTCATCTTTGACTACATAGTGAGTTCAAGGCCAGCCTGCAGTACATGAAAAATCTCAATAAAACAAAAAAAATCACATCTGGCAAGATGGCTCAGCAGGTAAAGTACTTGCCATGCAAGCCTGGTGACCTGAATTCAATGCCTGGAACCCACATAAAGGTAGGAAAGGATCTACTCCACAAAGTTGTACCCTGACTTAAACATGTGTGCCCTCCCCTGAAAGACTTATTGTGCTGGCAAACAGCAGAGGTGGAAGGACTGTCAGTCCCAGAACTGCCTGGGCTATGTAGTGAGGGCAGGGATAGCTGCAAAGAGGCAAAGGGAACTTTTTTGAGAATCATGAGAACGCTCTCTATCTTTATTACAATGGTGACTACAAATGTGCACATTTGTTACAACTCAAACTGTTTACTTACCCTGGGTATGTATTGCCCTATGTGGTACCGGGCACGAACAATAATAATAATAATAATAATAATAATAATAATAATAATAAGAAGAAGAAGAAGAAGAAGAAGAAGAAGAAGAAGAAGAAGAAGAAGAGCCAACCACGGTGCCATGCACCTACTACAGTCCCAGAAAGCTGAGGCATGCTTTGCTTGAACCCAGAAATTTGAAGCCAGAATGGGCAACATGGCATCTCTTAAAGAGGGAGGGAGGGAGATGAGAATGTGTGCATGCCTGTGTCCATAACTCTGTGTCTGTGTGTGTATTAAGCAAAAGCAGTCAGACACAAAAAATATATATACATATAAAATTTATGTGCAGTTCTAGAACAGAAAAAACTAACATAGGACAAGACACAAAACTAATACAGTTAACAGAAATAAGAGTATTAATGGGCTGGAGAGGTGGCTCAGTGGTCAAGAGAATTTGCTGCTCTTGCAGAGACACAAGCTCAGTTCCCAGTACCTACACTGAGTGCTGAGTGGCTCACAACCACCGGTAACTCCAGCTTCAGAGATCTGATGCCCTCTTTAGACCTCCTCAGGCACTGGTATGCATGTTGTACATACAGACAAGCAGGTACAGACACATACACATAAATAAAAATAAATAAAATAGTTTTAATATGGTGTAATGGTTTGAATAAGACCCCACAGGCTCCTATATTTGAATGATTAGTCAGCAGAGTGTGGCACTATTTGAAAGGATTAGGAGGTGTGGCCTTGTTTGAGGAGGTGTGTTACTGGAGGTGAGCTCTGAGTGGCTCTCAGCTACTGCTCCAGCACTTGTCCCATGCAGCCATGCTCCTGTCATGATGATAATGGACACACCCTCTCGTTGTGGAATAGTATTTTAACTGGGCAAAGGTGTGTTACATTTGTTTGTGCTGCAGAACATTATTTTAACTGTGTAAAGACATGTTACTTTTGTTTATGCTGCATTTGTTTAATTATGTAAAGACCTGTTGCGTTTGTTTCACCTTGCCTGCTTGAGGCACCCCATTGGTTTAATAAAAAGCTGAACAGCCAATAGCTAGGCAAGAGAAAGGATAGGCAGGGCTGGAGGGGAGAAAGAATAAATAGGAGGAGAAATCTAGGCTGGAGAGGGAAGAGGAGAATGAGGAAAAAGAGAGCGACAAGCCTAAGGCAAGAAGCCAGGCAGCTGCCAGACAGACAGACAGAAAAAGCAGTGAAAGTAAGATATACGGAAGGAAAGAAAAGTAAAAAGCCCTGAGGCAAAAGGTAGATGAAGAGAAACAGATTAAGTTAAAAGAGCTAGTCAGAAAAAACCTAAGCTAGGCCAAGCATTCAAAACTAAAAAGAAGTCTCCATGTCATGTTTTGGGAGCTGGTGTGGCCCCAAAGAAAAAGCCTGGTACATCCTCTAAAGCTGTAAGGAAGCCCCCAATTAAATGCTTTCTTTCATAATGTGTCTCTTTACAGCATTAGAATAGTGACTAAGACAATATGTAAATCTTTAAGAAAGAGTAAGAGGCTGGAGAAATGGTTCAGAGGTTAAGAGCACTGGCTGCTCTTCCAGAGGTTCTGAGTTCAATTTCCAGCAACCACATGGTGGCTCACAACCATCTATAATGAGATCTGGTGCCCTCTTCTGGCCTGCAGGCATACATGTAGGCAAAACACTGTATACATAATAAATAAATAAATCTTTTTTTAAAAAAAAAAAAGAGTAAGAATAAGTAATCTAAATAATAATCTCTTGTTATGAAGGTAGTGGCATTAATAGAGAAAATCTATATATATATAACTTTTCTGGAGTAAAAGATGCACCCAGGCCTAACCCCAAACCTAGTAATCATGAAAAATTTCACCAGCTATGGTGGCATATGCCTATATTCATGAGGCTGAGGATAAAGGGCCTGCCAGGGTAACTTAGGAAGACCCTGTCTCAAGCAAATAGAGGGCTGGGATGTGGTTCAATGGCAGAGTGCTTGCCTAGTCCAAGGTCCTCTGTTCAATTTCTAGTACTGGAGAAAACATACATACACACACAACCTCATACAAATTTATCTTCCAAAATTGATTCATATATCATTTCCACCACCCTAGCTTTCATCTCCACCACCTCACACCTGTACTCCTACATCTCCTTCAACTTCTTTTTCATTCTACTCTTTTAGACAAATAAACAAACAAAAAACAGGGTCTGATGTATCCTGGGCTGGCCTCAAGTTCCCTATGTAGCTGAAGATAGCCCTGAACCTCTGCCCCAGTCTCCCAAGGGCTGGGATTATAGTGTGTATCTTCACACCCAACTTATGCAGTGCTAGGAATTAAACCTGGGGTTCCCTGTATGTTAGACAAGGTACCCCCCAACCTGTATCCTGCTCTTTGTGCAATCATAAGACTCATCTAGTAGGCACATTAAACGTTCACAATCCAAATCTGTTTACAGGTGTACTCATGCCTAAATCTCTTTGTGTATTTGTGTCACTCTTAGGCCTAAATCTCTTAGTGTATTTGTGTCATTGTTAGCAAATTCTTTAGCATGGCATCTATGGTCTCCTACTGGCTGGTCCCTATTTCTCCAGTTAATCTCACATTCCGCTCCTGCTCTGGTGCTCAAGTCACACTAGCATTCTTCCTATCATTGGGACTTAGCACATTCCTTACAGCCTCAGGTACTGTGCAGAGAGTTCCCTCTGACTAGAACACTCCCCCTCCCCTTGAAGAGCTGCTCTTTTTTGTTCAGAGGTCGGTGAAATGACCAGAAAAAAATCTCTCTAATATAAACTAATAATATTTTGTGCCCTTCCTTAGCAAATGTCAATTTTTCATTTGTTAAGCCAGTTGATGTTTATAGGCTGTATTCCCTCTGGAGACTATAAGCTTCATGAGGACAGGCACTGTGTTTCCCTTAACATTCCTAGTGCCAAAATAGTGCCTGATACATTGTAGACATTTTATTGAGTGAGGGTCATGAACAAAGTTTGATACTTTGGGGTTTGTTTTAAATTCTTCTGCTATTTTATGTGAAATAGCCCCAAAGCCTTGACAAAACCCTAAGACCTTCAACAGTAGTGCAAGCATCATCAATAGCATGTTTTAAAACTTCACCAGAGGGCTGGGGAGAGGACTCAGGTGGGTAAAGCACTTGCCATGTCAGTGTGGAGACTGGAGCTGCAATGCCCACCCACAGAAAAGCTGGGTAATGGAGGAAGACTCCTGTTATCTGCTTCTGACCTCCATTTACACACACATGAATAACTGCACACAGGCACACACATACATACACACACACACATGAGCACAGATACCCACAAATATGCTATATATATACACCACACATATATGCACATGTAAAACAAAGAGGTTTCAAATAGTCATTGACATATAATTAAAGTAAACAAATAAATAAAACTTGAATTCCATAAAATATTTATATATTTGTATTGGACTGACCTGCTTTCATCCAAATCAAGGACTGGAATGGCTGTTCTCTTAGTCTTTTTGGCAAGAAATAAAGGAGCAATTTTCATTTTTCCTTAGAAAAATCAATACTTGGGTTAGTATTAAATGTTTAGCATCCCCACTCACCTTTAGTTACCTTTAAAAACCTTTTAATTAAAAAAAATAAATAAAAATTAAAATTAAAAAAAGGAAAAAAAACAAAAAAACTTTTTAATTATAAAAATGCTGTATAATAATGTTTCATCAACTTGGTGATAATGGAACCCCCTGGGAATCTTTCATTTTTAACTACAGAATCCTATAATGTACATCTTAAAATTTTGTTTAGTATGTCTAGGGAAATACCTAAACATTTTAAATGTTTTAATGTTAAAAACAAACAAACAAAACAGGGGCTGGAGAGAGGGCTTAGCAGTTAACAGTACACAGAGCTCTTCCAGAGGACCTGAGTTTGGTAACCAAAACCCACATTGGAGACTCACAACCTTCTGTAATTCCAGCTCCAGGGAAAGAAGCTCTCTTCAGGCCTCTTCACCACCACACACAAGTAGCACACATACACAGACACAAACATACATGACAAAAATAAAAATAAAGCCGGGCAGTGGTGGTGTGCCGGGGTCCATTAAGGCCAGCCTAGGCTACCGAGTGAGTTCCAGGAAAGGCGCAAAGCTACACAGAAACCCTGTCTCAAAAAACCAAAAAAATTAAAAAATAAAAAATAAAAATAAAGCTGGGCAAGGTGGTGCACACCTTTAATCCCAGCTCTTGGAAGGCAAAGGCAGGCTGATTTGAGTTCAAGGCCAGCCTGTTCTACATAATGAGTTCCAGGCCAGGTAGGATATGAAGAGAGACCCTGTTTCAATAAATAAATAGTTGGGGCTGTAGAGATGGCTCAGAGGTTGAGAGCACTGGCTGCTCTTCCAGAGGTCCTGAGTTCAATTCCCAGCAACCACATGGTGGCTTACAACCATCTATAGTGGAATCTGATGTCCTCTTCTGCCATAAAGTTGTACATGCAGATAGAGCACTCAAACATATAATACATAAATAAATCTTTAAAAATAAATAGTTAAAAAATAAATAAATTACAAAAAAAAATTGAGAGCTGTACAGATGGCTCAGTAGGTAGAGAGTGACAAACCAGGCTGTATCCCTGAAGCTCATGTATAAACCACAGTAGAAGGTGAGGACTCACACCTGAAATTGTCTTACATCCTCACATGGGAACACACAAATCAATCAATAAAAAAAAAAAAAAAAAAAAAAAAAAAAAAAAAAGGAAATGTATCAGGCAGTGGTGGTGCACGTCCTTAATCCTAGCATTGGGAGGCAGAGGCAGGCAGATCTCTTTTGAGTTCCAGGCCAGCCTGGTCTACAGAGCTAGTTCCAGGACAGCCAGGGCTACACAGAGGAACTCTGTCTTAAAAAGACAAAACAACAACAACAACAACAACAACAACAACAACAACATAATAATAATAATAATAATAGTGAGGAAATTTTTTTTGGTTTGGTTTGTTTTTTCAAGACAGGGTCTCTCTGTGTAGTTCTGGCGGTTCTGGAACTCACTCTGTAGACCAGGCTGGCTTCAAACTCACAAAGATCCACCTGCCTCTGCTTCCCAAGTGCTGGGATGAAAAGAGTGTGCCACCACACCCAGCTATAAGGAAATGTTTTAATGAACACAGAAAAATTTGATATATGTCCCAAAACAAAGTTTAAAAAATAAGATTCTCGGGCTGGAGAGACGGCTCAGAGGTTAAGAGCACTGGCTGTTCTTCCAGAGGTCCTGAGTTCAATTCCCAGCAACCACATGGTGGCTCACAACCATCTGTAATGAGATCTGGTGCCCTCTTCTGGCCTGCAGGCATACATGCAGACAGAACACTGTATACATAATAAATAAATAAATTTAAAAAAAAATAATAAGATTCTCAATTTTTCTTTGAAAAACTTGCTCAAAAAAAAAAAATCTGCCTACTCTCCCACCACCCCCCACTCCCCACCCCACCCCCCAGAGCTGAGGACCGAACCCAGGGCCTTGCGGTTACTAGGCAAGGGCTCTACCTCAAAACTTTACTTATCAAAATGGAAATAATTAGGCAGGCAATGTGGCACACACTATAATCCCAGCACTTGAAGGTGGACACAGGAAGATGAGGAGTTCAAGGCCGGCCTCAACTACATAGTAAGTAACTAGTCTGGTGATAGGAAATCCTGACCCACAAAACAAAACAAAGCTAGACATGCCTTTAATGCCACCACTTCATAGGCAGAGGCAGACAGATCTCTGACAACCTGTCTCAAAGAAAAGAAAAGAAACAAACAAAACACCTAAATTTCCTATTTTATGGAATATGACATTAACTTTGCACCGGAAATCTCAGAATTAATTGCCCCCAAACACTCTACTATTCATCAAACCATATTAAATCCAATTACCAGGGACATTTTTAGAAGGCTTGTTAAGTTTTTTTCCTAGTACATCATTCAAATTCTTAAGTTTCTTCTGATTTTTCTCTGGTTGCTTTACAGAAGTTGGACTTGAATCTATTAGTATTACAGAATCCTAAGACAAAATAAGGAAGAAAAAAACAACACTTTAATACAGTACTTTCCCTTGTCCATAAGCGATTCCAATAACCCCAGAGAATACCTAAGCCTCAGACAGTTCTGAGCTAGGTTGTTTTCACATACATACATACCTGATAACACACACTTTGACCACAACTTTTACAACTTTTACAGATTAAGGTCTGACAATAAAACTGAAGGAATTTCCTTTTTCTTCATAATTTCACAGATAAAGGATTCTTTCTACAGATTTTTGCAGTTTCAGCATCTTTCTCTCTCTCTCTCTCTTTGAGACAGGACATCTCACAGTCTATCTCTGGCTGTCCAGGAACTTGCTCTGCAGACCAGGCTAACCTCAAACTGCCTCTGTCTGGAGTGCTCAGGTTAAAGGTATGCACCACCACACCCAGCTTCTTTCCTTCCTAAGTGAAGGAATTTCACCTTTCCCACTACTTCTCCTTTGTGTACCCAAATTGCCAGCATTACTATTCTTCTACTATGGAGCAATCATCAAGCAAAATAAGGATGCTTGAACACAAGCACTGTTAATCCTGGCTCAGTTGATCAGATAACTGAAGTGGCTACTAAATAACTAATGGGTAGATAGCATATAAAGCATGGATACACTGGAAAACTGGACATTTGATGTCATAGAAGGCTGGGGATGTAGCTCAGTAGACAGTGGTCCCCCGTATTATATCATACAATATTTTATGAACTATCCAGAAGAGAAAATCTATAGAACTAGAAAGAGGATGAGCAGTTGTCACAGGGAGATGGGAGGACTGGAAAGCAGCAGCAAAGGGGAATGGTGTCCTCTTTGGAGGTAGAAATGTTCTAAACTCCATAGTGGCACATATTATGCCAGCGCAGGCAAAAGGATGGTGAATTTGAGGGACCCTGGGCTACATAGAAATACCATGTTTCAAAAAACAGAAAAATTTCTAAAATCGGTTATAGTAGAACTACAACTCTGAATGTACTCAAAGACACTGAACTGCATACTTTTTTTTTTTTTGAGACAGGTGCCTTCAAACTTATCACATAGCCTGAGAATCACCCCAAACTTCTGATCCCCTATTTTACCTCCCTAGTGCTACAATGCCAGGTATGCACCATAACACCTTCAGTTTTGAATTGTACACTTAAATGGCCAACTGTACAGCATGAATTACATCTCAATAAAACTATTTTAAAAAAATAGGAGGCAGTGGCTTTTAGCAGGATAGTAAAAGTCGAGTAGAGAATTCTCAGGTAGAAGACAGTACTTGGGATGTGAATTTCAAAGCAAGAAAATAAACAGTGAAAGGGATCTATCGGGGAGAAATGAAATTCAGTGTGACTGTGGTAAAGAACTGCTTGAGGAATGGGAAGAATCAGTTGTTAGAAGATACCTTGAGTAACCTGAGACTAGACTATATCCCGTAAGCCAAAGACTTTTAAAGCAGAATGTCCACCATGACCAGGCTATTGAATATGACCTTACATCTCTATAAAGGTTTCCTCCTCCCACTCCTAATAACGAAACAATAACAACTGTATCAACAGATACTGGAATACTTACATCTGTCTCTGGTGACTTCTCCCTTTCAGGAAGTGTCTGGTGCCTAGAGGAACGCCTCAAGGGCACCACTGTTTCTTCAGCCTTTGATCCACTGACTCGGAAAGCTTTTGCTTTCTCAATCAGTTGTTTAGCTTTTGATACATTTTTTGAAGTACTGTTTGCCTAGACAAAAATTTGAACTATTAATTCAGATCACAGCAAGAATTTCATATTTGGCCGGGCAGTGGTGGCGCACACCTTTAATCCCAGCATTCGGGAGGCAGAGGCATGAGGATCTTTGTGAGTTCGAGGCCAGCCTGGTCTACAGAGCGAGATCCAGGAAAGGCGCAAAGCTACACAGAGAAACCCTGTCTCGAAAAAAACAAACAAACAAACAAAAAAATATTTCATATTTGATAACAGAAAAAAACAGAAATATATAATAGAAAAAAATATTTGTATCAATCACATTAATAATCAACCAGGAAATGATTATTCAATTTTTTTTTTTTTTTTTTTTTTTTTTTTTTTGGTTTTTCGAGACAGGGTTTCTCTGTGTAGCTTTGTGCCTTTCCTGGAACTCGCTTTGGAGACCAGGCTGGCCTCGAACTCACAGAGATCCGCCTGGCTCTGCCTCCCGAGTGCTGGGATTAAAGGCGTGCACCACCACCGCCCGGCTGGTGCCTGTCCTGGATCTCGCTCTGTTGATCAAGCTGGCCTTGAACTCATAGGGATCCGCCTGGCTCTGCCTCCCAAGTGCTGGGATTAAAGGCATGCACCACCACCACCTGGCCTGATTTTTTTTAATCTATAATTGTCATTATAAGTGTATCTGCGGGCTGGAGAGATGGCTCAGAGGTTAAGAGCACTGGCTGCTCTTCCAGAGGTCCTGAGTTCAATTCCCAGCAACCACATGGTGGCTCACAACCATCTGTAATGAGATCTGGTGCCCTCTTCTGGCCTGCAGACATACATGCAGGCAGAACATTGTATACATAATAAATAAATAAAATCTTTAAAAAAAAAAAAAAAAAAAAAAATAAGTGTATCTGCATATAAACCCAAAACCAGGCTGGAGAGATGGCTCAGTAGTTAAGAACGCTGGCTGCTCTTCCAGAAGTCCTGAGTTCAATTCCCAGCAACCACATGGTGGCTCACAACCACCTGGAAAGAGATTTGGTGCCCTCTTATGGCCTGCTATATACATAATAGAGAAATAAATCTTAAAAAAAAAAAAAAGCCAGAACCAGGGGGCGCATGCTTTTAGTCCCAGCACTCAAGAGGCAGAGGCAGGAGGATCTCAGTGAGTTTGAGGCCAGCTTGATCTTTATTAAGTGAGTTCCAGGATAGCCAGAGCTACACAGTGAGGCCCTGTCTCAAAAAGACCAAAACAAACAAATAACTGAACCCAGAACCTATGTAAAGCTGGACATGGTAGCTGCTATATACCAGTCTATAATCCCAACGTTCCTAGAGAGAAATGGGAGGAGTCACAAGCTGGCTAGTCTAGACCATGTAAATGGGAGATCCTATAACAAATAAGGTGGAAGGCAAGGTGTGGTGGTGTTGCACACTGCCACGAATGCAGGTAAGAGTACTGTACATACAAACACATCACACACAGACAGACACACAGACACACACACACACTCTCTCTCTTATAAAAACCAAAAATTAGCCGGGCGGTGGTGGCGCACGCCTTTAATCCCAGCACTCGGGAGGCAGAGCCAGGCGGATCTCTGTAAGTTCGAGGCCAGCCTGGACTACCAAGTGAGTTCCAGGAAAGGCGCAAAGCTACACAGAGAAACCCTGTCTCGAAAAACAAAAACAAAAAAAAAAAACAAACAAAAACCAAAAATTAGCCAGGCACACGCCTTTAATCCCAGCACTCAGAGGCAGAGGCAGGTGAATCTCTGTGAGTTCGAGGCCAGCCTGGGCTACCAAATGAGTTCTAGGAAAGGCGCAGAGCTACAGAGAGAAACCCTGTCTCGAAAAACCAAAAAAGAAAAAAACAAAAACAAAACAAAACAAAAATTCAGAAGAGAGTCTACAATTTACATTAGAATTGGTGGTTGATTTTCCTACCACCTTGATAATAATCTATTCTTTTTTGGGGGTGGGGCGGTTTTGAGACAGGGTTTCTCCGTGTAGCTCTGGTTTCTTTTGTGAAACTCACTCTGTAGCCCAGGCTGGCCTCAAACTCACAGAGATTCACCTGCCTCTGCTTCCCAAGTGCTGGAATTAAAGGTCTGCACCAACACCACCCGGCTCTATTCTTTGATTTTAGTCGGTGAACTATGTTTCAAATACAAATAGTTACTGCACATGCTGTATGCAAGGCTCTCATTAGATAATATAAAGGAAAAATATATAATACATGGACATTGATTTTATAGAATCTAATTAGATATGATAGGAAAGAAAGAGTTAAGAATAGAGCTGAGAGGTGAGAGTAGTGGCACACGCCTTTAATTCCAGCACAGAGGCAGTCCGATCTCTGTGAATTTGAGATCAACTTGGTCTATAGAGTGAGTTCCAGGACAGCCAAGGCTGCACAAAGAAATCCTGTCTGGAAAAAACAAAAAGAAAAAAGAACAACACTAGGGGCCATGTATGGTGGCACACACCTATAATCTCAGCCCTCTAGGTAGATGCAGGTGGATGTGGATGTCTGTGAGTTTGAAGCCAGTCTGGTCTACATAGGGAAACCTTTTTCATAAAAGGGGTTAAGAACACACAGGGAGGGGCTGGAGTGGTGCTTCAGTGGATAAGCGTACAGGTATCTCAGCAGTTAAGAGCACTGGCTGCTCTCCCAGAGACCAGGGTTCAATTCCCAGCACCCAAGTGACTCACAACCATCTGTAACTCCAGTCCCAGGCAATCTGAAGCCCTCTTCTGGTTTCTTCAGGTACTGCACACATATGGTGCAGACATACAAGCAGGCAAAAACACCCATACACAGAAAATAAAAATAAAGAAAAACGTTTAAAAAACACATAGAGAAGCCGGGCGGTGGTGGCGCACGCCTTTAATCCCAGCACTCGGGAGGCAGAGCCAGGCGGATCTCTGTGAGTTCGAGGCCAGCCTGGGCTACCAAGTGAGTTCCAGGAAAGGCGCAAAGCTACACAGAGAAACCCTGTCTCAAAAAACAAAAAAACAAAAAAAAAAAAAAAAAAAAACACATAGAGAAATTGAGGCAGGCCAATCACACATTCAATGACTGCCTGTTTTCCTATGAGTACTGATCTCAAGGCCAGCTAAGCAAGTTATGAAGACTATGTCTCATAAAGTAAAAAAATAAGAAGAGGGCAGAGGATAAAGTTTAGTGGTAGAACACTTAACCTAGGATGTCTTACACATCCCAGCACTGTCCCCTTGACCCCCCAGACAGACAAAGCTAATACAATCACATAGTATACACTATTTGTGTATGTGTGTGTGTGTGTGTGTGTTTGTGTGTGTGTCTATCATCAGACTCAGGGCAGCAGGCTTGAGCCCATAGTGAGATATTTTAACATCTTAATAAACTAGCTAGAGAAACAGAATAAATGGCATAGGTTGTAATTAATGGACTTATAACACATAGGAATCCTCTTTGACATGACTTCCAGTAACTATTGGCGGTCTTTTAAGAAAACAGTATCACTTTCAGAACTTCAGTACTTTTATTACCTTTCTCTTCTGAGAAGTGAGATCTCCCTCAGTTGTTTCAGATTTCTTAGACATTTTCTTGGACTTTTTCTTAGATTTTTTGGGAGTACTAATTCTAGTGAATTTCATTCTGGAAAAGAATGACATTTATAAATATTTTCATAATAATGTACAGGATCTTAAATATAAAAACAAACCAGTTAGTATTCTAACTTAAAAAGAAAAAATAATTGCCATCAGTTTGATTCAATAAGTCAAGCCGGGCGGTGGTGGCGCACGCCTTTAATCCCAGCACTCGGGAGGCAGAGCCAGGCGGATCTCTGTGAGTTCGAGGCCAGTCTGGGCTACCAAGTGAGTTCCAGGAAAGGCGCAAAGCTACACAGAGAAACCCTGTCTCGAAAAACCAAAAAAAAAAAAAAAAAAAAAAAAAAAAAAAAAAAAAAATAATAAGTCAAGCTTTTTACTTTATTTCTGGTGCTGGGGATAGAACCATGTACATACTGAGCGACCATTCTACCACTTAGCTACTTCATTTAATAAGACTAGCCAGAGGTGGTGGTGCATGCCTTTAATCCCAGCATTTGGGAGGCAGAGGCAGACAGATTTCTATGATTTCGAGGCCATCCTTGTCTACAAAGCAAGTTCCAGGACAGCCAGGAACACTGAGAAAACCTGTCTTGGAAAAAATAAATAAATAAATAAATGAATGAATTAATGAATGAATAAAGCCAAAGAAAAGAAAAGAAATAATAAGCCTAATCAACACATTTTCAGGACCCCTTCATGCTGTGGAGAGTCTACTTTTCAATAAAATCTTGCTTGCTTACAAAAAATAAAAACAATAAGCATTGCCCAGAGGTGGTGGCACACACCTTTAATCCCAAAATTTGGGAGGCAGAAGCAGGTGGAAATCTGAGTTCCAACCAGCCTGGTCTACAGAGCGAGTTCCAGGATAGCCAGAGCTACACAGGGAAACCCTGTCACCTCCCCCAACCCCAAAATAATAAGCCTTACCAGGTGTGGTGATACCCATAATTTAAGCACCTGGGAACCAGAAGTGGGAGGATCACTCATGAATTCAAGGCTAGTCTGGTCTACATAGCAAATTCTAGGCCATCCAAGGGAGACCTTGTCTCAAAAAACAAAAAACAAAGAAAGAGGGACAGAAGAGGGAGAAGGAAGGAAGGAAGGAAGGAAGGAAGGAAGGAAGGAAGGAAGGAAGGAAGGAAGGAAGGAAGGAAATGAAGATAAGTCTACCTGCCTAGCATGAGCAAGGCCCTGAGTTTAAGGCCCACTCAGCACAGCAAAAACAGAAACAAAAAGAGAAAAATAGTACTTCTTGAGGAAAATTAAAACTAGTCCCTGGATCACTGTAATATTACACAGGCCCAGTATGCAAGAATATGCTCCAAGATGTACCGGTCAGTACCTAAGGAACAACACTCAGCTAGTGTGGTGGTGCATGTCTTTAGTCTCAGCACCACAGACACAGAGGAAAGGGAATCTCCTTGAGTTGGAGGTCAGACTGGTCTACAAGTTCCAGGACAGCCAAGCCTACATAAAGAATCCTGATTCAAAACAACAACAAAAATCAACAATAAAAAACACTCTTATGATATTTTTGTTTTGTTTTGTTTTTTTGAGAAAGGGTTTCTCTGTGTAGTTTTGGTGCCTGTCCTGGATCTTGCTCTGTAGACCAGGCTGGCCTCAAACTCACGAAAATCCGTGCTGGGATTAAAAGCGTGTGCCACCACCACCTGGCCTTATGATTTATTTTTAATTTCATATTTGAGTACTATTACTCAACTGTGACAAATAAGAGTTTAGAACTAGCTGGGCGGTGATGGTATGTGCCTTTAATCCCAGCAATTGGGAGGCAGAGTTCAAGGCCATCTCAGTCTACAGAGTGAGTTCCAGGACAGTCAAGGCTACACAGAAAAACTCTTGTCTTGAAAAACCAAAGGGAAAAAATAATTTAAACTCATCTGAAATGTTTCTGTAACTCTTCTGAAACAGACTTTAAATTAGCTGTATTAGCCAGGTGTAGTGGTACACACCAGCAATCCTAGCACTTGGAAGAGGATTCTGAGTCCTAGACTAACTTTGTATAGAGCAAGAACATGTCTGAATAAATAATTAGTTAATAAACCTGTGTGCAGTAGCTCATACTAGAAATCCCAGCACTCAGGAAACTGAGGCAGGAGGACTGCCACAAGTTTGAAAGCATTCTAGGCTACATACTGAGTTCCAGACCAGTCTGAGCTACTGAATAAGACCCTATCTCAAAATAAACAAAACAAAAGCCAGGTTTGGTGGCACAGGTCTGTCATCCCAGCTACTTGGGAGAGTACAGAGAGGAAGAGCATGTTTAAGGTCTGGCTGAAAATCAAGACCAGCCTGGACAACCTAGGATACCTTGTCTCAAAATGAAAAGGGCAGGGATGTAGCTCAGTGGTAGACCACTTAATAAGCTATGAGGTTCAATCCTCAGAGTTGTATAAACATTAAAAATCTATTTATAAACTACATTCTAGAAAATAAACTCTACAATGCTTGAAGAATTTCCCTTCCCAATTAATAATACATGTAGAATGTTTTAACTTGAAAAGAAAAACAAAATTTTACCTAATAGGGCTCTCCGAATCAGAGGGTACTGTTATTAATTCTGCTGTGTACAGGCTGTGTTTTTCTGATATGCTGGCTGCTTTTGGAGTGGAAGGCTTCACTGGACTAGTAGTGTCCTGGGCATCCTCAGACTCAGTACCTCTAAGGGTGACTGTGGCAGGCGTGTTGCTACCTCTTAGAGATCTCCTGGTTGGCTTGGGTGTGGAAATGTTCTGCAGCCTGTTTTCAGGCTCAGCTTTGGAATGTGTGACCATATCTTTGATTGGTGTGCTGTGTTTTCTTGATTTATTTCTGTCACATGGAGACATTTCTAGAGAGTTGTGTGCTGTATCCTCACAAACAAGACTTTCACTGTTAAGTAATGATTTGCTTTTGGAAACTTCTGACTTCTGTCTTAAACTCCTTCGAAGGCTATTTTGTTTTGGTTTATTTTTTGGGGAAAAGGATGTTTTTTCCTTTTGCATGGTTTCTTCTCTGTTTCCACCTGGAGTGGTCCTAGTGCCTATGGTCTTCCTATCCTTTTTCCTTGACTTTTTACTTTTCTCCTTAGGAAAGCTTGCTTTATCAGTGTGTGTCTGTGAACTACCATGATTTGAAACTATTTGGATATTAGGATTTTCTATGATTTTTTCAGAACTGTTATCACCGTCTTCACTTACGGATTTTTCACTTGGGTCTTTCTGCTTCTCCAAAGGTTTCTTGAGTCCAGTTTTGAGCATTTCTGACAGCGGCTGCCTGAATGCTCTCATGAACTGCTGTCTCTCTTCCACGCTGCACTTTGGTACTGAAGCCTCAGAGCTCCCGGCTTCCAGCACAGCCAGTTCTAACTGGCCCTCCTGGATCACAACATTTGATTTCCTTTTCTGAACTGTCTGCTCATTTTCTGGATCAGAAAGACTACTCTCCAGATCAAGCTGTTTCTGTTTCAAGAACATTGGGGGTATTTTCCCTTTCTTTTTAGGGGGAGTGGGGTGAACTTGTGCAAGAACAGTAACTGTCTTAAGGTGTATGTGTGGAGATAACTCACAGCTCTCTAATTCACCTTCAGAACCACTTTTGACTGCTTCACCAGGTCCAGGAGGAACACAAGCTGGCACTGCATGGTCAGGCATCTCTTCCACTCGAGCTGCCTTGTGACTTTTTAAAAATTCCTCATACGAGACCGTTATTGTACTCTTGTTTAAATCAGCTACTTTGGTTGCACAAGCCCTGGGGTCCACATGATTTGCAGTCCTCTCGTTTTCATCGGCCACGGAAGGTTTCGTCTGTTTACTGTCTTTGCCACCTTTCTTAAGCAGACTTATTTCGTCTGCCAAGGGTAAACTTTCAGACAGCTCTAGTAGCTTGCTGTGCTTCCTTTTTCTCAACATTTTGCCATCATTTTTTGTGGTGTCTTGTTTAGGATTTACTTTCCGGGACTTTTTGGGGGGGGTCATTGTATTTGGCTTGTTTCTGCTGTCTTGAAGGCTTTCTGTAAGAACCTCTACATGTTTTTTGTAAAGGAAAACATCAGTGCTGCTTTCCACAAAATCACTTAAACCGCATTCCTCCTTACGATCACCACTAATTCCCACTGACGACTCAATTTTTATATCATTCAGTTGATGAGATAAATTAATTCTCTTTCCTTTCTTCTTAACTTCCACATTTGAGAGCACTTCCAGAGGTGTTTTACAGTCTTTGCTATTGCCAAAAAGCGAGGATGGAGATGGCTTTATCTTACACTCTTTTGTCGACTTCTCATTTGTGGGTGAAGTCTTTCTAAAATAATGAAGAATCTTACTGGGTTTTGGTGGAGAGAAAACTCTGTCTCCAGTCTTTCCTACTGGTGATAAATATTTGGTGATGGTTTCACAGGAAGAGCTGTCATCATCTTTTCTCCGCTTTTTGCATGGCTAGCAATTTAAAAAGGGGGGAAACACATTTATTTCAAGTAAAATAATATGAAATAGCAACTGTAAACACAGATTTAACAGCTAGGACTACTTTATTTGTGTGTATACATGTGAAGTGTGTGTGACACATGCACACATGTGTGTACAGGGATGCATGCAGAGGCTGGAGAAAGATGTCAGGGGTCCTTCTCTATCACTTTCAGCCTATTCCTTGGGACAGGGTCTCTCATTATACCTGGAGCTAGGCTGGTGGCTGGCAGGTCCCAGCAATCCTCCTGACTTTGCTTCCACATAACACTGGAGTTATAGGCCTGTACAGCCATACCTGACTTGCTGGGGATTTGAACTCAGGTCATTACACTTGTACATGGAAGCATTCTTACCACTGAGCCATCTCCCCAGCTCAGGAAGGCTACTTTAGGTGAAAAGTGACACATTAGAAAGAAAATGACCTTTAATGTTAAATCTACAATCAAATTTTAATGTTGTATCAAGTTATATTCCCAATTTGTATACTTTATACCATATGTATATATACTATACTTCAATAAGTTTGTATTGCTAGGTGTGGTGGTTCATGCCTCTAATCCCAGCATTCAGGAGCCAGAGGCAGAAGATCTCTGTGAGTTGGAGGCCAGCTTGGTCAACAGAGAGAGTTCCAGGCCAGTCAGGGCTACTGGACAGGTAGCCAGACCCTGCCTCAAAAACAAATGAACCAAAAACAACAACAAAGTTTATACTGATCAGCACTTGGGAATCTGAGACTGGCAGATCTCTATGAGTTTGAGGCCAGCCTGGTCTACATAGCAAGCTCCAGGCCAGGGAATATAGTGAGATTCTAGCTCAAACAAAACAAAACAAACAAAAAATTTATATTGAAACAAAACTAAACTCATAAGAAAGCACAAATGTCTACTCTCCTGTTTATTTTACTTTATTTATTTTTATTTTTTTGAGACAGTATATTTCTATATAGCCCCAGCTGCCCTGCAACTCACTATGTAGCCCAGGCTGGCCTCAAACTTAAGAAATCTGCCTGCCTCTGCCTCTGCCTCTGCCTCCCAAATGCTGAGACTAAAGATGTGAACCACCATGCCCTGTCTACCCTCTATAACCTTAGAAAGCACCATCTATCTCACAGAATCTATAATGAATACATAAAAATGTGGAACCGAACAAAGGGTAGGGCCCCTACAAACAAACAATCCATTCTGCTTTACTTTTTTGGTTTAAAATAAACACACCATTCTAAGTATCTCTAAGAAATATTTATTTAAGAAGCCCAGGACCACCAAAAGAATACTTGCCACAGTCTACTATTTTAAAAGTCTACTACGAGTCTTTACCTACCTCCTGCAGTAGCCATTACCCTCACAGAATCAAGGTGCTTATGACACTAGGGACAGTCATATTTGTGTTAGTCACTTGCAGTCAGCAATGATACCTACACCCAGGCGAGCTAAACAGAGATTACAATGCGTCCACGTATGGCTGACGAAGACTGGGCAAGGCACTGACTGCTAGGAAGAGAGCATACTGCTCAAGGTGGACAATCACGAACCAGGTGATACTACCAATAAAAATGTAGTTTTTATTGTCATCACTAAGGCTGGGGAGAATAACTGCTTAGGCATAAACAAAACCCTGGATTTGGTTCCCATCACTAAGTAAAATCAGGCATGGTGGCACGTGCCTGCAATCACAGCACTGAGGAGACAGAGGCAGGAGCAGCAGAAGTTCAAGGTGAATTTATTGAGCTTGAAGACAGTCACATCTACAGAAGAAACTTTTTGAAAAAACAAAACCAAATAAACAAAAAAACCAATGTCAAAAATAGAAAAAAAAAAAAAAAAAACCAACTTCTAGACTCTACTTGAACATGGATCAACACATAGATTTAACGCTGCTCTCTATATCCCTAGAGCAAACAGACTTTTGATGCATTTTGAGTGTGACTGGACTCATCCAGCTGCTGGCTCACTAACAATAGTGATCCCATTTTTGGCCATATATGTATCTTCTAAAGGTTTCATGGGTTTATCTTAGAGTACAGATGATTTCAATTGTGAAACCTGTAGGGTAGCATGGGGCAAATTAACTGGTCTGATTTTCTGTGACCGGTATTTGTTTTCTTGACTACATGTAAATGGCCTGAATCAACTTTGCTCTGGAGTAAGGAGATATCTTACTGTTCTGGATTTATTAGATTAGAATGTCTAAGCCTGTCTTTAGAAGGACATTATTTCTCATTTCGTTTCCTTGTGTATTGTAGGTTTTAAGTATAAACAAAAGCTGGGCATGGTGACTCATACCTATAGTCCCAGTGCCTTGGAAACTGAGGCAGGAAGACTACAGTGAGCGGAAAGCCCTCCTAGGTTGCACAGAGTTTCAGGCCAGCCTGGGCTACAGGAATGAGAACTCAAAGAAACAAGTCTAAATAATATAAACTACTTATAAAGACCCTTAAACCTGACCTAGAAATCCACAAAATTAAGCAAATATGTTGTGGTGGTTGGAATAAGAATGGCACTATAGGCTCATATATTTGAATTATTTGGAGAAAGTGTATCACTGGGGGTGGGCTTTGAGGTTTCAAAAGCCCATGCCTGGCCCAGTCTCTCTCTCTCTCTCTCTCTCTCTCTCTCTCTCTCTCTCTCTCTCTCTCTCTCTCTCTCTCTCTCTCGGCCTGCAGATCAGTATGTAACTCTCATGCTACTGCTCCAAGCACCATGAGTATTGCCATGCTCCCTGCCATGATAATGGACTAAACCTCTGGAACTGTAAACAAGCCACAATTAAATGTTTTCTTTATAAAAGCTGCCTTGGCCACTGTATCTCTTGATAACAAAAAAAAAAAAAAACAAAAAAAAAAAAAAAAAAAACAAAAAACCTGTGACTAAGACATATGTAAATAAAAACAAAATGATGAAAGTGAGTTAGCTAGAAAATGCATCAGTAAATTGCATAACTGAAAATGCATACTACTATACTGGTTACAAAGGAATTACTGGCTGGGCATAGTCACACATGCCTTTAATCCCAGCATTCAGGAGACAGAGGCAGGCAGATGTCTCTGAGGCTGAGGCCAGCCTGGTCTCTATAATGAGACTGTCTCAAAAAAACAAAAAAACCCAACTCCATTAGTTTCTATACACACCCTACTCCCTGTTGGGACACGCACTCTGCCAACAGAGCTACTGCTCCAGCCCTCAACTTTTTTGTCTTTTGCTTTACCCAACCCCAAGCCTCACAACACTAAATAAACTTACTTCTAAGCTATATTTCCATCCTACTATCAATCTTTGTCTTCTCAGTTCATTTGATAAAATATATCTGCCAAGATAACAAAAACATTATTTTAAAGACAATAAGGAGGAGATTTTTATTTTGAGAAAATTCAAATGAATTAACAGAGCTATCGTGGTTAAGAGCATAGTACTGATGCTGCACAAGCAGGTGTGTCCAAAAAGCGGAACCAGACGAGGCTGCCTAAGAATTCATACAGGGGACCCTTGACATGGCCCAGCAGGCAAAGGGACATGCTGCCAAGCCCAATGACCTAGTTTGATCCCCAGGATCATGGTATAAAGGGAGCACTTCTTCCCACAAGTTGCCCTCTGACCTTCACACATATGCTGACCCCTGCACATACAATAAACAAATGTAGCAAAATAATTTTTAAAAATAATTTAAGTGATAAAAATAACATTCAAATTAACAGGCAAAAGAGTAAGAGACGATAGTGGGACAAATTCTGAGCATTTAGATAAATGAGGTAAAATACAAGCGAAACTATATAGGTTAAAATAATAAGTGAATTAGAAACGATCTATTATTATTTTCTATAAAGCTTTGAGATGGTGTCAGAGGCGCCACACAACAGACACTCAAGTCAGATCGAAGTTTAAGTATCAGTCCTGACATCTACTAGTATGGAAACCTTAAGTAAATTACTCTTTATTTTTAAATGTAACTTAATGAACTGGGTGCGGTGATGCATGCCTCTGATCCCAGTACAAGCAGGCTGAGGCAGGTGGATGGTGAATTTGAGATCGGCCTGGCTGGGCTACTCAGCAAGACCCTGCCTCAAACAAACAAAATTAATTTGGCCTGTTTTTCAATTGTTTTGTTTTGTTCTTTGAGACAGTGTCTCTCTACATATCCCTGGTTGTCCTAGAAACTGATATGTAGACCAGGTACGCCTCAGAATCACAGAGATCCACTGGCATCTGCCCCAGAGTGCTAGTATTAAAGGTGTGCGCCACTAGGCCCAGATGTAAGATTTTCCCACACATCAGGTATGGTGGCCCACATCTTTATTTTATTTTGTTTTATTTATTATTATTATTTGTTGTTCTGAGACAAAGTCTCACTGTAGCTCTGTCCTGGAACTCAGTCATCTTTCACCTTATCATAGGGTTATTATGCAAAGATATGTAAAAAAAAAAAGCCCTTACCATATTAAAGAGTAAATATCATTATTATAAAATAGACTTTATAAGAAGGGTACCAAGTCTTGGAAAAAAAAAAAAAAAAAAAAAAGAAGGGTACCAAAAGCAGAAACCATAAACCAAAGATTGATAAACCTGACCATCCCAAAATCAAATAATTCAATGCCCAAAATCCTTTACACCTGAGACAAGCTAAATAATTCACTTGATTTAGCAAATAATGTACATATTCTGCAGCAGAAAAGTTACTTGATTCTAAAAATTAAGAGTTAGAATTTTTTTGAACTAATTAAAGAGAAAAATGATAGGAAACTTCATTTTACTCTCTCTCTCTCTCTTTTTTTTTTTTTTTTCTTCATTTTCCTTTCTTGTTTCTTCACATGGCTTTATGTGACTAAGTGAGTAGGATCTACCCCAACAGAACTGTTACTCTGGAGCAGTGAACACACACAAACTAGCAACTTCCCCTGGGAAGAAGCATGGCTGATGGATCCTGTAAACACAGGATCTGGAATGAAACAATCAGTAATTTCTTGTGCCATAATCAGGGCACAACAATGACTGAAGAGTAATAGAAAGTAAAAATACGCATATGATGGTGCTGGAGAAATGGCTGGGAGGTTAAGAGCACTATCTGATCTTCCAGAGGACCTAGGTTCAATTCCCAGCACCCACATAGCAGCTCACAGCTGTCTGTAACTCCAGCACCAGGGGATTTGACTCCCTCACACAGACATAAATACGGGCAAAACATCAATGCACATAAAGTAAAAATAAAGAAATCATTTTAAAAATATTCATGTGAGAAAGATTTCTAAAACCAAGTTCTTAGGAAAATTAGAATTAAAAACTATTAAATATGCTACAAAGAAATATAAGCTGGGTGTGGCTATACCTGCCTGAGCTGCATGGGATCTTGTCTAAAAACCAAAACAGTGAGATGATTCAGTAGATAAAGGTGCTTGCTGCCAAGCTGACAATCTGAGTTCAGGTCCTGGGCCCCACAGAGTGGAAGAAGAGAACTGACTCCTACACGTTGTTCTGTGATCTCCACACCACCAAAAAACGAATGCAAATTCATAAATGTAACAAGAAATAAAAACAAGCCAGTGGTGGTGATACAAGCCTTCAATCCCAGCATTCAGGAGGCAGAGGCATGAGGATCTCTGTGAGTTCCAGGCCAGTCTGGTCTACAGAGTGAGTTCCAGGACAGCCAGAACTACACAGAGAAACCCTGTCATGAAAAACAAAAACAAAACAAAAAACAACAACAAAAAAGAGAATTTAAGTGAACACACATCTTAGCTCACTTCAAAGGCACCAGAACACATTAATTAGAATGTCAATCTGAGATATGGTGTATAAAAAAATAGGAGGGGCTGGAGAGATGGCTCAGTGGTTAAGAGCACTGGCTGCTCTCACAGAGTACCCAGGTTCAATTCCCAGCACCTACATGGCAGCTCACCATTGTCTGTAACTCCAGCTCGAGGGGATCTGATACCTTCATATAGACACACATGTTGGCAATACACCAATGCATATAAAATAAAATAAATAAATAATTTTTAAAAATACCCACCATAGCAGCTATGGAGAGGCACAAGCCTGTAATCCCAGCACTTGGAAAATGGTTACAAGAGGATCAGTAGATCCGAATTCAGCTTGGGTATTTCTGTATCTACATATAGATATCAGCCATAAGTATACTATAAGATCCTAGCCACTACTTAACGGCATAGAATATCATTATGGTTGCTTAGTGTATTTTTTTTTTCTTTCTGGAACCCAAGGCTTCCCGCATTAAGCACTATCCCCAGCTTAGTGTACTCTCTGAAACATGGTAAATACAGAACACCTAACGTGCCACAGAGACTCTTAACTACATTACATTAAGCTCTGCAGTCATGAGAGACCGACTTTAAGTACCTCACTTGATTCTTAAGTGACATTCTAAAAGGAATTCCTAGGACAGGTGTTTGTACAGACTAACTGAACTTAAAGCTTTATCTTTTTCGCCTTTCTATGATTCCACATCAGGAACAAAGAACTTGAACGTGAGATCCTCGGTGACATGTCATTCCACCAATGTTTCAGGACCCGAGACCTGTGGTTTTTAAATCCTGGCTCACAGTGAACCCGAAATCTTCTTAAAATTCCAATGAGGGCTTACCATGACACACCGAGGCAACCATCCCGCACAAAATTATAGCTGTGGATCAACACATCACTCCTGTCCCGTCCCAGAAGCAAACAGGACTCCCACCACCTCCACGCCAAAATTCCCCAACACAGGCAAAAAAGGAACTTGACAGATCCTCGACCTCACCTCAATCTCGTAGTCCTTTACTGGAGGGGGAGCTGCAGCCGCCGCCATGGTCAGGACCCCCACCATGATCCCTGCCTCCCAGAGCCCCAGATCCTAGGACCTCCAGCGGTCCGGCCCAGCCTGGCTGGAGGCCATAGAGGCGGCCGATCCAGTGGGAGCAAGCTAGGGGACCGCGGGGTCCGTCACGGGTCCCCCAGAGCCCACGGGCCGGATGCGAGTGGGAGGCTGGGCCCAGGGCCGTCAAGCCAGGCTTAGACAGAGACGTCGAGAAAGCGCGAGCGCGGGCCCACGGGGGCGGCGGAACAATGCACGGTGCCCCCGAGGTAGACGCTCCAGGCTCAGCGTTCGAGCCCCGGGCCGCAGTGGGCGCCGCACACCGAACGCCGGCCAGGCCTTGGGGCTTCGGCGGGAGTTCTTGTCAATTGGGTTTTCGCGCCGTCCAGAACGCAGGGGGCGGAGCCTATGACTGCTTCGGGAGGCTGCGCCTACGGTGAGCCACGAAGACCAAACTACTTCGTTTGGCGAATCAGCAGGTGACGGAACCAGTTCTACCCCGGAATCCTAGTGGAAATTTCGGGGATACACGATTCGGTGTTACAGCCAAGTATGACTATTGAGGACGTGATTTGTCTAAGGTTACCTAGTCATTTGGTGGCCGAATTAAGACTTAGACTTTAAAATTATATTTTTGAAGCCGGGAAGTCGTGGCGCACGCCTTTAATTCCAGCACAGCCTGGTCTACATAGAGTTTCAGTTTAGCCAAGAGATTCCATGAAATAAATAAACAGATAGGTAAAGAAAGAAGGAAAGGAAGGAAGGAAGGAAGGAAGGAAGGAAGGAAGGAAGGAAGGAAGGAAGGAAGGAAGGAAGGAAGGAAGGAAGGAAGGAAGGAAGGAAGGAAAGGGATGGAAGAAGGAAGGAAGGAAGGAAAGAAAGAAAGGGATGGATGGAGGAAGGAAGGAAGGAAGGAAGGAAGGAAGGAAGGAAGAAAGAAAGAAAGAAATTAGAAAGAAGAGGTAGAAGAACCAGGTGGTTGTGGTCTACATAGAAAGTTCCCTGTCAAATAAATAAATAAATAGGAGTTAAGAAGAGGTAGAAGAGCCAGGTGGTGGTGGTGGTGGTGAACTCACCTTTAATCCCAGCACTCGGGAGGGAGAGAAAGGCAGATTTCTGAGTTCGAGTCCAGCCTGGTCTACAGAGTGAGTTCCAGGACAACCAGGGCTACACAGAGAAACCCTGTCTCAAAAAAACAAAATAAATTATTTTATTTTGTGGGTATGAGTGTTTTGCCTACATGTGTGTATATATATATATATATATATACCATCTGTGTGCCTGGTACCTGTGGAGACCAGGAGAGGACATTAAATCCCCTGGAACTGGGGTTACAGATAGTTATGAGCCACCGTGTGTGTGTGTGTGCTGGAAACCAAACCCAGGTCCTCTGCAAGAGCAACAAGAGCTCTTTACAGCTGAGTCATCTCCCCAGCCCTCAGGTATGAAAAGCATGTGCGGTGTTACTGAACTACATACCCAGCCCATGATTCGACCATCATAAAGAGCATTTGTAAAACCCTGCTACCGTGGTTAAAGATTTAACTGCTCTATAACATCACCCACAATGGTTCTTCTTTCTCCTTTCGCCCTTTCGTCAGATCGCTTAGTAAACACTCCGTGACATAACCCTGTCATAGCCATACAGTGGAATCCTTCTCAGCAATAAAATGTCACAAGGGCTAGGGAGGTAGTTTATTGGAAAAATACCTACCATTCACGAGGTGGTGGGATCAATCCTGAGCACTGCCAAAAAGTAAGACTAAATCAATAAGCCGGGCGGTGGTGGCGCACGCCTTTAATCCCAGCACTCGGGAGGCAGAGGCAGGTGGATCTCTGTAAATGTGAGGCCAGACTGGTCTACAGAGCAAGTTCCAGGACAGGCTCCAAAGCTACAGAGAATCTCTGTCGGGGGGTGGGGTGGGGGGGGGGGGGATTAAAAAAAGAAAAATAAATAAACTTAAAACTTAAAAATAAAAGCACATAAATAAAACGTCAAGCACGGTGTTGGAGAAATGGCACAGTCTTAAGAATGCTTGCTGCACAATCATGAAAACTGGAACTGCCATCCAGCACCCATATAGCAAACTGGGCATTCTGGGTATGGCATTCTATGTGACCCCAGCTCTGAGACCAGCAGAGACATGCGGATCCCTGGACCTGGCCTCCAGCCTGAGAAGCCCTGAGTGCAGGTTTAAGGAGAAACTCCCTCAAAGGAATAAACAGAAACTGACAGACAAAGATGCTAAGACACAAAGACACACTCACCCCCACACACAAATAATAAATAAATAAATAAAATATTTAAAAATAATAACTTTTTTAAAAGTCTATTTTTTTTTTATTGTATGAATATTCAACATGTGTGACCTGGTCTCCATGAGGGTCAGAAGAGGGCATCAGATCCCTTGGAGCTGAAATTAGAGATAACTATGAGCCTATGAGCTGGGACTTGAACCCAGGTCTGCTGCAAGAGCAGCCAGTGCTCTTAACCATTGAGCCATTTCTCCAGCCCCCTAAAAATAATAACATTGAAACAAAACTAAACCCCCAAAAGGTAAGCACAATACCACATGCCTGTAATCTCACCACTTGGGAAGCTGAGGTAGCATGAGTTGTAAGCTAGCCTGGGTTAAATCAATACTTCCAGATCAGCCAGAGGTACATAGTGAAATTCTCTCTAATAATAATAAAGATAACTAGTAATATATGAACAACAAAGATAAATCTCAGAATCTTTATTATGGAGTCAAGAATGGTGGTGCATTCATACACATAAAAATAAATAAAGACACACATATATATATATTTATTTTAAAGTGGTAAGCATTATCTGGGGCTCGCTGGGTGTGGTGGCACACACCTGTAGTCACAGCACTTAGGAAGTACAGGTGAAAGATCAGAAGTTCAAGATTATCCTTCATTGCATAGCTAGTTTGAAACTAGCCAGGGCTCCATGAGGCGCTACCTCAAATATATATATCTGGGTCCTTCCAGCCTGAGTCTCTCAGGCATCTTCAGATGGTAGTTGGCCCACTTGTGAGTGGTTCCTCTCTGTAGATTAGTATGCAACTTCCTTCTGTTGACATGAGCAGTTACACCGCCTCTTCCTCCTGCTTCCCAATTTCCCACCATTTCCGGACCTCTCTGATAGTCCTTTTGCGCACTCTCATTCTCCAGTGTTTCTCCTATTCATAATTCTAGCTTTAAATTCCTTTCTATTATTTGATAGATTTTTGGAAAGGAAAGAAGAAAAGCACAGGTAGCCAACCCTGAAAGAACCACAAGATCCAGCTTAGGGGTTGCTTTCTCTAAGAAAACTTTCTCGAAAATCTCTGCACATCTACTTCCTCCACCTCAGTCACAATTGTGTGGTTTAAATGTAAGGTTTCAGAGCTTCCACTGTACCTGATGCATCATGCCACGCATTTTTGCTTATTTATGTGTTGCCACGCTCGACTGGGAAAGCAAGTGGAGGGCTCATTGCTGGTTTTGATTCCTTTGCTCTTTAAACATTTGGGTATGAGTGTGAGCTTCTGCACAGCCAGCCATAGGATCCAGCCTTTACAAGTAGGCACTTTTACATTTTCCTTTCCTGGTGGTCAATTCAAAAGAGAAAGTAGCCAGGAGGCAGAGGCAGGTGGCTCTCCGTGGGTCCCAGGCCAGCCTGGTCTACAGAGTTCCAGGATAGCCAGGGCTGCTTGAAAGAGAAAGAGAGAGAGAGAGAGAGAGAGAGAGAGAGAGAGAGAGAGAGAGAGAGAGAGAAGCTATAGCTTAGAGATGTTTTCTTTTGGGGGTGGGTTTTTTTGTTTGTTTGTTTGTTGTTTTTGAAACAGGGTCTATGTAGTCCTTGCTGCCCTGGAACTACACACACACACACACACACACACACACACACACACACACACATATATATATATATATATATATATATATATATATATATATATATATATACATACATCAGCTGGCCATGAACTCACGGAAATCCACTGGCCTTTGACTCCTGAGTGCTGCAATTAAAGGTGTGTGCCACCATAACCAACTTTTTTAAAAATTTATCGTTACTATTCTTAATTATGTGTAGAATGTGCATTTATGTGTGGTATTTGAACATGAGTGAAAATTCCTGAGAAGGCTAAGGGCATCAAATTTCCCTGGAGAAATGAGAGAATGGGGAGCCACCATACATGGGCCCTGGGAACCAAACTCAGGTCCTCTGCAAGAGCAGGATGCCCTTAACTGCTGAGCCACCTCTGGAGTGCCTCTTTCTGCTTGTTTTTCTGCAGTGCTGGGGGTTCCCCAAACCGAGGGCCTTACACATCCCAGGCTTGTGCTGTCGTCACTGAACTGTGCCCAGTGCTTAGAGGTATTTAAACTCACAGTGCCCTTCCTCCCCTCTCACAGTCCCCCTTTTCTTCAGAATCTCTTTCTCTTGTCATTTTGGTGTCAATACATTCCCCTGCTTGTCCCACTTCCTTGGGAAGACTGATTCCATCGATGCCTCCGGATCCTCGTAATCTAAGCCCTGTCCCATGGTCAGCTGACATCTGTCCTTACTGCCTCTGAACTCTCTTCCTTTCTTACTTCTAGGGACAAGACCACTCACTCTTCAGGAATTTATGCTGTAAGGTTAAAAAGAGCAGGGCTTCAGGGAGTGATGGCGCATACTTTTAATCCCAGCACTCAGGAGGCAGAGGCAGGCCGATCTCTGTGAGTTCAAGACTAGCCTGGTCTACAGAGTGAGTTCCAGGACAGCCAGAGCTACACAGAGAAATCCTGTCTGGAAAAACAAAAACAAATAAACAAATGAATAGTGGGGTGTGGTGTGGTGGCACATGCCCTGCAGAGATGGGCCAATCTCTGTGAGTCTGTGGCCAGCCTGGTCTACACAGTGAGTTTCAGGACAGTCAAAGTTATGGAGAGACGGAGAGAGACAAAGGGATCTTGTTTCAAAAACAAACAAACAAAAGCAGGGGCCATGAGTGGGCAAAGGTGCTTGCTACCAAGACTGATAGCCTATTTTTGATTCCCTGGACCCACATGGTAGAAAGCAAAAAAATGACTTCTGTAAGTTTTCCTCTGATTTCCACACATGGCATACAGAGAATAAACAAACAAACAAACAAACGAATAAAATCAAAGAAAGAAAGAAAGAAAGAAAGAAAGAAAGAAAGAGAGAAAGAAAGAAAGAAGGAAAAGAAATCTCAAACACAAACATATTCCCTTGATCCATCTGACTAACTTCTCCCATCTTTTTTTTGTTTTGTTTTGTTTTTGTTTGTTTGTTTTTCGAGACAGAGCTTCTCTGTGTAGTTTTGGTGCCTGTCCTGGAGCTCACTCTGTAGACCAGGCTGGCCTCAAACTCACAGAGGTCC